CTCTGATTAGCATTTGTGCATACTGTGTGTATTGCCTCGATATTGCTTTAATTCACAAGCAATATAAGCAAACATGGATAGTAGCTAACAGTGGAATTCAAGACGCGCGTTTCATTCTATTTGGGACTCGTCAGCTGGATGTACCTACATCTCAATGTTGATGTTCACTAGATAAAAAGAAGTTATGTAAGTGTTATAAAATTCATAAATGATTGGGTGATCAGTCAACATGATAAAATAAATAACTTAAAAAACAAAAATAATGTATAAAAGATGGGTATCAGTAAACGAAATGTAAACAAAAAAAAGAGAAAAGGTCAGGGGCAGAGTTGAAAAAAATAATGATTAAAAGTTAAAATTAATAAAGATTATAAAATAAACATCTAATTATCATAAAAGAGAAAAGTTAATTACACTTTAACTCTATATTACATAGATCAAATCCAAAACATTTGATAACGATTATCTTGGCAAAACAGATTAAGATTGTGTTCTTTGTCTGTTAATTGTTTTGAATAAGTTAATTACATTCATTTTATGTCCACTATTAAAAAAGTGTCTGGCAATTGTAGTTATGAAGACTTTACTACCTATCAGCCGTAGGATCCTAGTAACATATTAATGTAAATGCCCTCGAGATATCAGGTAAATAGTAAGGTTTGGAGAGAAGAGCCTCTACTAGGTTTTCTGAAAACAGTTCATACTTGTATCTCTGATATATCATGTATCTGAGAGACCATATATGGTATGTCTAGATTATCCCATAATATCATTTTCTTCATTTCATTCATCCGTGTCATTTGACTTTGTAGTATATCATAAAACCCAGTTTAAGTACTTTTTTTTTTCTAGTTCATTGACGAAAATCCCAGAAATTTATAGCAGATAATGTTCTTATCTGATAGTGTTATGATAAACTTTGTTGAAACTTATGTTCAAAAGGAATTTAATACTCAAATAAATATTCAATATAATACTTAATCCTCAAAAAAAACAAATTACCTACTTAATATTATTGAACTAAGTAGTAGGTCAATTTGTCAAAAAAATCTGTTTATTATTTATACATCATCTGATAAAATTGTTAACCTTAAAAGCTAATTACGATAAATAACTAAATAATAAACAGGAAAAAAAACGAAAACAGATACTTTGAAAAAAAAGAAAAAGAAAATCATGCATATAAAATAAATTTTATATAGTTGAGATCACGAATCAGTTGAAGCTAGATCACCATGGAAGCATTGGACGTCCGTTTCGTCCGATTGTGAGAAGCGATAACCAATGGAGTTCAACCAGGTCTGTTGTGAGATATCTACTGACTGAAAACATTGGTGAATGGTTGCTCAATTTCGTGGATTGGTTGAAGTTAAACATTAACACCGGCTCAGTGATCTAGAGGTTAAGTGCTTACGCGTGAGACTGATAGGTCCTGGGTTCGAATCTGACGAGGTGGGATCTCGGATGCGCACTGCTGAGGAGTCCGACAACAGGAGGAAACGGCCGTCCAATGCTTCCAGGTTTTCCGAGGTTGTCTAGCTTCAATTGGCTCATGATCTCAACTATATAAAATTACTAAAATCTCCACAAAACTCCCTTCTGATAGTAATTTAACCTTTATTTTGTCAAGTAAGAAACAACTTAGCAAATCAAAGATGGATAGTAGCTAGCAGTGGAATCCAGGACACGCATTTCGCCATATTTTGGACTCGTCAGGTGGATGTACCTGCATCTCAGAGTTGACATTCTCTCTGGAACTCGAAACTGGTACCCTCTCTTCAAACGCCATCGCGTTATCCAGAGTGAACATCAACTCTGAGATGCAGGTACATCCAGCTGACGAGTCCCAAATAGAACGAAACGCGCGTTCTCGATTCCAATGCTAGCCACTATCCATCTTTGCTTACCATGCTTGTGAATTAAAGCTATATTGAAGCAATACACACAGTATGCACATATGCCAACTAGAGACTGACCAGTTATAGTTCTAAACATCAATGGAAAGATTCAAACAATATTGAGATTAATTATTTCAAATAAGCTAGTCAGTTCATTAGAAATGATCATATTTACACATTTGATATTTATACTTTTTATCAGTCATCATTATTGGTGAACACTATTCACTCACAAACAATACATGTTGATCAGTATGGAAAATACCTATGATCAGGTTTTATATTGTTTCTCCATAACAACAGCAAATATAGTAAGATAGAACCTGTTGAAATGAAATAAATTATTAAATATCTACTGATTGTTAAGTTGTGAACAAGACAAATATATTAGCTGAAAGATCTAATGATTAAAACGTCAATATGACATTTGCCGACACAGTCTTCAAACAAATTATTCTTGGTAAATGTGAAATGAGTACCATTAGACTGAGGAATATTAACAGTCTGTGAAACATTTAATTATTGTTTAAAGATTGAAGAATCAATGTATTTTCTAATCGGATATTAACATGGACTCTTTCTATATGTGAGCCTAACTGGTTATTAGGGTGAGAACACGAAGAGCATGTAGGAAGTTTTTATTTATAAACCGAATTGAAATTCTATGCACGATTCTTTCATGAATATACGTATTGTTCATGGAATGAAGCCAGATTTTCAACTAATAACATATATACGTTTCGTCAGGCATTTAATCCAAATCATGGTTAATATTGTAAATCCTTCAATATCTCTCTTATATCATTTGACTTGTTTAATTGGCCCAAAGTATCATTTTCTCTTGCTGAAAATAATCTGACTTATTGGATTTAGTTGCAGGTGTTTAGGTGAGAGAGAGAAGTGCACATTGGTTATCACTGCAAGTAGTTACTTACTTGAATCATTTTTTCTGGTTAGCGTATTTTTTAGCGAGTTAGTTTTTCTACGGGATGGGGTCGCTAACCCCATGCCCAACCCTCCACCTCTTTTACCCGAGCTTGGGACCGGCAGTAACTTTAGAAGAGCTATAGGCGGAGTTATCTAGTTAATATATTTTCCAGTAATATCACTGCGATAACTATATTTCTCAATGATTCTAATATTTGTTTTAACTTAGTTTAAATATGAAAACTTACTTTTTGTTGCTCATAACTTTCTCTCATTTCTGTTTAAAATTCTTCTTTCACCCAAATGGTAATTTGATCAAGATATTCTAAATGTAAATTGATTTCTTAGTATTGTTAGAGAACTGGGGCATAATTTTGTTTTTGCATAAAAAAAGCATTTTTCACCTTAGTTCAGTAATAATTTCGATGGTCGAAGAATTGAGTAGTAATGATAAAAATGTCAAATGAAGTATGATTTTTTCAACGGAGTTAGGTGTATACCTTGAAGATGAGTGACAATTGTTGGAAAATATACGCTCTAACTATTCAGACTGTTTTGTTCACGTTGCTGTGAACTGTGTAATAAAAGCACCAGTATTATTGGCTGCAATATTCTCAGATGTTACTGAAGCTTCGACTGTTCAGAGATGTAAGTGTTGTAGGAATATCTGCGTAATAAAAATGACAAACTTACACAACCGGAGTAGATATAAACAATATTGAAGGTATGTGGTCGAGGCTGAGAGAGCTTTTGTGACCTTATCAAGGTTTCAGATACCCAGTATTATGGAGCCATATGGATGAGTTCCTCTATATTATACAAGAAAGTATTCTATTTGATGTCTTTATTTTTCCTCAGTCCAACATGAGAGAAAGTTTCCACGAAACGGATGACTGTTGAAGTGAATCAGAGGGAGATAGGGTGATTTATAACAAATAGATATAGAATGATAAATCATGAAATATTTTTAGTTGACCGAATAGTAGTGGTTGAATGTTCACTAAGTAGTTACCAATGTTATGTTTATGTAGATGTATTGTGCTGTTCACATTTCACTAATCGACCTTCAATACGAAGACTAATCTAAATGACTTGAAATACTATGTACTATATTAAGATACCAATTGATTAGATGTAGTCGGGAACAAACCCTAGGGCTAGGTTTCATGCTCGGTGGCACTAGCCAGCAAGTGATACATCAATCTTTTTAATAATACAAGTACGCCTTACTGAAGAGTATCATCTAGCACGAAACCTATGTGTGGTGTTTCATTTCGATCGCTTCCAATCGCTTAATATATGAGAATAGTGTATATCTAAACCTCATAAACGCTTGTTTCGATTGAAATCAATCGATCCCACCAGTTATTTATTCTCAGCGTTCAATTACTAATATGAAAATGTCCAAACTTTTTTAATACCTTAACATAGCACTGAATAAGTAATATGTGTTATTCTAACCATTATGGTAATTTCATCGTCCTTCTTTTTTGAACGTCTTTAATCTCTTACTACTTTGAATGAACTTGATAAACATTTTCTGAAGAGAACAATCGTAGATGCAAACATAGTTCGATCTCATTAGATTATTCCATATTAATGACTTTTATTTCACGAGATAAACATAATAGAATAAAGCCATACAATCTATTTATATCTGATGAGGAGAACAAGTAAGATATTTTACCAGTTCTTCATGGTAACTGTTAAAGTAATTCGAAATTGTGAAGTGTTCCTATTGATATTTGTGGTAAGACTTCTAATTGAATGCTAGATTCTGTTTCTTAATCTCTCTTGTAACCCCAGGCCAAATCTACACAGCAACCTGAACACGAGAGAAAAGGAGCGAAAAATGGAGGAAACGCTTTACTCTAAATGTTCGTTTCTGTACAGAAAATCTAGGTTATTTATAGTATTTAAGGTGGCCTTGGGTTTCTGGAAAATTCTGGAATGCTAATAAACATAGCAGCAATATAAGTTATCATACAATCAGAAAAGCAACATGTTACTTTTCACTTTTTAAATGTTTTTGGAAAGACCTCTATTGAATGCTGATTGATTAAGGGGTTTCTCAGAGTTTACAGAGCGTTTTTTGGCTTTTTTCGAGGAATTTTCTGGATCTCCCCAACGATTTGTACAATACTGTATATTACACTATTGTTTTATTTCGTACAGATGAATGAAGATAATGAAAAGCACGACAGTACTTCATCAAACCATTCATCTACAAAACCGTATACAACACATATGGAAAATGACACAGAATTGAACGATCCTGAAAGAATCCCCACTCAATTGGAAACTCAAATCGTTGCTGAAGAAAATGTTATTTCTCAACCTTTTAATTATGAAAAAGTATCTGAAAATAATGTCATAACTGATGAAAAAGCTGACCATTTAGTATTTTTAGATAATCCTTCTCTTACTACTTATAAATCAAATGAAAGTAATCATATGATAATGTCTTACCAGAATATAAAATTCAAATGTGAACAAAATCAATTTTTACATACATCATTACCTATTGATAAAATGACAGAAAATTTTAAACAAAGAGAAGAAAAACTTGTGAATACAAAAAGAGACTTATATCATTCAGACATATTTAAATCCTATGAACACGTGATACCAACAATGAATTCCCCTACATCATTGGATAATCATTATTCTGCCTATATTAAATGCCCAGATAATATGAATGAGAAAGAAGGCATTATTCATGAAACTTTCTACCCTTATCATCAATATGAACAAAAACAACTACCCAATGAGTATAATCAAACTCATACATACCTTAACAATAAGCGACAAGAAGAACAACAAGAAGATTATTATTATCCATTGATTCAATTGAAAAAGGAAGGCAGTCATTTAGAATTAACCAATAATCATAAAGAGATAAAAAAATCAAATTCAATTTTTCTTACCTCTTTTTTAAATTCTAATTCTAATAAAATAAATTCTATTGATCAATCATTAAATTTGAATCATTTACAATATTCATTTAATAAATTAAATCATGAAAAGAATAAAACCAATATCAAACAAAATAATAATGAAAATTTATTAATAATCAATAATCAATCATTAAAATCAATAGAAAATTCAAATAATTTAGTAACATTTTCTGATACTACTCAAAATTTATTTACTATACCCCATAATAATACAATTACATCGGTTTGTTTTAGCATAGAAACTCAAAAACAACAACAACAACAACAAACCTATCCTACTCAATCATTATCATTAACTAAACCATTATATTATATACATGAAAATTTATTAAAACGTGCTAAATTTATTCTTTCTAATTCATTATTAATTAATGAACCTGATCCAACGGATACACTTTTAGCTTTAACTGAAGATAATAATAGCAATAATAATAATAATAATAATAATAATCAATCCCATAGATCATCTAATATAAATTTAAATCAATCATCAATTAAAAATTATTTTCTTTCATTATCTTGTCCACAATCAATAAATGATCAGTCAATAAATGATCAATCAATCAATAATCAATTAATCAATGATAATTATGATACATTATCAGAATCAAGTAATTTATCAATTCATCTACCTATAACTAATTCAATTGAAGATGAAATAAATTTTAATTTAAAAAAATTTTATACTAATAATAAACATTTATGGAAATCATTACATTCACAATGGTATATACATATATTAAAACGTATTATTGAAGAAGCTGAATTCACTACAATAACAGAACAAACAATTGATTACGATAATTTTCCTAAAGAATATATGTCATCATCATCTAGTTCACGTGGTTCATATTTTGGAAATCAAGGAGGAAGAAGAAGAAGGAGACCACATTCTTCTGCTTATAGTTATAAAATAAATAGTTTAATAGATGATTTACCTGGATTATATGAAAGTCCTAATTCATCATCATCTATTATTCAATCAGGATATTCTTATAATCATAGATCATTACATGATATTTATCCGGATAGATATATTAAATCATTCAATGATGATGATGATGATAATAATTATCGAATAAATTTTAAACCATCATCAAAAAGTAATTTAAAATATTCATATGATTCACGACCGTATAGATCATATTCAGAGGCTAATACATCACATCATCATTATCATCATTCACAAAAAGATAGATCAGGTTTAGCATCTATTATTCGTTATGATCGTCGTAATAAATTAGGTCTAATTCATCATTCTTCAAATCGTTTAAAACATACAAAATCAAATGATGTTGAAACTGTTCTACAACAAAGAATTATAAAAGATCCTAATAGAAATTTAAAATCAATAGAATTTGAAAAATCCAAAGATTCCATGTATCCAATTCGATTAAACAAAAATTATCAAGATTATGAAACTAGTCATAGAATAAAAAGGAGTAATTTAAGAAGTTATACACCAACATATAAATCATTTTATATACCACAAACAAAATGGTCAAATGATAATAGCTATTTAGAAATCGGTTCATATTTTTCCCTACCTTTAAATGATTATCATAGAAAAGGAATAAAACATTTACAACCTACATTATTAACTAATCCACGTTATGATCCACCATCTGATGAATGGAATAAATTAGATCATCATTTAACTCGAAGAATTGGAAATCTATCTAAATCAACTGGTCATTTAAGTCATTTAGATGATTTAAACAAATTTTCAAATTGTACTTCTATGCAAACTTTAAGAGCACGATTAGCTGCTGCACATTCAGAATTTAATTTAGATCAACATGAAAATATATCAGATTCATTTGAATCAAGAAAATTTAATAATAATAATAAATTTGGTTCATTAGATTATCAAACTGATTCAAATGATTTTACAACAAGACAATTAAGACAACAAGTAGAACAACATCATCGTCGTTTACTTAAAAGTTTAATGAGTGATGAACCTTATGAATCTAGTTGGCCATCTAGTTTTTCAAATTTTGATCTTCAAGGATATTTAAATTCATATTGTGATGAATCAGAAATGAGACCAACAACTCTTATTTCATCTACTTTAGCGCCACCAATATTTTCTACAGCTTCAACAAGATTTCCATTAAGTAATGAACAAGGTAAATTAGATGAAACAATCATGGAACCTATAAACTATTTATCTACAACTGATCAACAGTTTCTGCCCATACCAAATATGTTAACTACGTCGAATTTGAATTCCACCACTCCAGTAGTATTACCAAATCAAGTACCTATATCAAATAATTTAGCTGATAATATTATGAATAACACAATTATAAATCAGCCTACATCAGTCAGTTTAAATGAACAAATACCAGTTTCAAATAACACATTAGTCGACCTTATTAATAATCCTGATTTTATACAAGCTCTTACATATAATCCAGAACTTATAAATCAAATAAATTCAATGTGCCTAGATCTTGCACCAGCTGATTTAAATCAAGTAACTTTGGCAGCTGTTGCTGGAGCAATTGCAGCTACAGCTGTAGCTGGTTCTGGAATGTTAGATAGTAATACTACTACTGATAATAATAATAATAATAATGTAATTACATGTCAGTCAACTAATGAACAAATCATTAATAATCTATTACAAAATACAATTACATCAGATCAAATGACAAATTATTTAAATACCGGAAATTTTATTTCAAATAACAATACTACTGATTTGATAAATAATGTTTCATCTATAAATTCTACTTATTTAAATACAATGAATTTATCAAATAGTCAGATAATTAGTGATATTAACAATAATAATAGTAATATTCCAAAAATGAATACTTCATTAACTGATGGGAATTCTTCTTTGGATAACATAAATCCTGAATCAATAGATATACTAATTGAACAAGTACGTAAATTATTAAATGAACAGAACAAATTTGATTTAATAAATCCGATAACTTCAATAAATAACAATAATATAAATGATAATAATAACAATACTACTATTACTACTACTGTTAATAGTAGTAATAATAGTATGCCTTTAAATAATTCATTAATATCATCATTACCATCATCAATTCATCAAACAAGTCAATCAATAATGATCGAAGATAAAATACAAAATCCTGTAGATATTTATTGTAATAATTATCAAAAATCATTAAGATCTATACATAATCAATCAATTAATGAAGTTAACAAACAACAATATAATCAAATATCTAATGAAACTATGGATAATTGGCATGGATTAAGTGAAGATGAATGGAATTATAAAATTTATAAAGGTAAATAATAATCTATTTTATAATTTATTATTTTCATAGTTGAAAGCATAAATCAATTGAAGCTAAAACATTAAGGAAAACCTGGAAACACTGTATGGCCGTTTCGTCATATTGTAAGACTCCTCAGAAGTGCGCATCCACGATCTCGCCTTGCGAAATTCAAACCCAGAGTTTACTAGTTTTGAGTCAGAGCAATAAACCGATAGGAACAAACTGTCGTCCAGGACTTTCATGTTTTCCTTGGTGATCTAGCTTCAATTAACTCATGCTTACAACTATGAAAATATTGAAATATCCACAAAACCCTTTCTGATACATTATTTTGTTTATAAAAATATTTTATTAAAATAATCTCTTTTCTTGTATTACCAATTTTTATAGTTTATCTGTAAAAAGTAATTTTTTATGAATAACTCATAAGGATTTCTAGTCAACGAATAATTACTTAAGCCCTCCTATCTCATACACACGAACGAATACAGACGAAAACAACAAATGTAGCAGCAGCCTTTACATCAATAGACATCAATATACACAAAAGAAAAAGCAAGATTCTTAAATAAAACAAAGAGAACGCCAAGCCAATCACACTTGATGGAAAAGTCTTGAAGAAGTGGTAACATTCACGTACCTGGGAAGTAGCAACATTGATGAACAAGGAGGATCTGATGCAGATGTAAAAGTGAGGGTTGGCAAAGCAAGAGCAGCATTTCTACAATTGAAGAACATATGGAACTCAAAACAACTCTCAACTAACTTCAAAGTGAGAATCTTCAATACAAACGTCAAGACAGTCCTACTGTACGGAGCTGAAACATGGAGAACTACTGCTTCCATCGTCAAGAAGGTGCAAGTATTTATGAACACTTGCCTGCGCAAAATACTCAACATTCACTGGCCGGATACTATCAACAACAGCGTTTTATGGGAAAGGACAAACTAGCTCCCAGGAAATGAGGAAAAGACGTTGGAAGTGAATCGGACATACATTGAAGAAATCACTATACTACATCATGAGGCAATCCCTAACCTGGAATCCGGAAGGGAAGGCCAAATAACACATGACGCCGGGAAATAAAATTAAATATGAAAAGGTTGAATGTTCACTGTAAAGAACTGGAAAAGATTGTTGAGGACAGAGTTGGATGGAGAATACTGGTGTGCGGCCTATGCTCGTCGACGTGGGGTAACAGGCGTAAGTAAGTAAGAATCATTATATAATAAGTTTATCAGTTAAATATAAAGAAAATTATGGCTACAGTAAAATATGAATAAAAAATACTGTCTATAATCCATTATTAAATTCATTGGATTCCATTCAAAGATAAATAATGAATTATTATGACTATTACTTACTAAAGATCTTGCAGAGTATTTTGATAATCAAGGATAATGAATGAAATTAAGTGAAATAAATTGATTTTCATAGTTTCTAGTTAATGTATAAAATTAGGTCCACTTGGTATTGTTTACTTGAATCTTTCGATTTATGTTTAGGAACAGTCTCTTATTGGCATTTGTGCATACTGTGTGGATTGCTTGGATATCGACCTTAGTCACAAACTTTTTAAAGAATAATGGACAGTGGATAGCAGTGAAGTCTAGGACGTGCGTTTCGTCTTATTTGGAATTCGTCAACTGAATGTACATATGTCACTAAGAGACTTATCAACCTCATTGCACAAGCAAGTGCTATCAGGACTCAGCAGTTGAGTGGATGACGCGATGGCGTTTTAAGTGAACGGTATTGGTTTTCAGTACGGGAGTGAATATCAACTCTGAAATGAAAGTACATCTAGTTGACGAGTCTCAAATAGGACGAAACCTGTGTCCTGGATTCCACTGCGTCATGTTGTTTTATGAATTTATACACTACTGGTATAATATTTAGTAACGGTTATCAGGCGATTGATCAACAAAGCCTAAGGAATTATTTGGAAGCCAAGCAACTACATACTCAACATCGAATTTACAATGTCTATTTACTTGATATATTAATGATAATATCAACTTCAGAAAAATTGGTGAATTTCATCTGTCAGATAAATTTGATTAATCACAGAATAGCGATACGTCATATATGTTGATTTAGCCTGTTAATGCAGGTCAAACTCCGACAGTCATGTTGCATTGTGGTCAGTAGTTTGGATGATTCAATATCGTGTGGATTACTATGAGATGCCAGTGGTTGAGGGTAGTTAGTTACAAAATTGGCGTTCAGTTTTATGCTATTAGGCACTTACCAGGTTTTTATAAAGCTGATTGAATTCTATTTTTTAACTACTAACAGATATTGCATCAGATTATCCTCGAAAAACGGTCTAAAAGTCTCATTCAAGGCTCATAATACGCAAAGATGAATAAGTCTAATTTAGTGCTAAATGGCTCATCAATAGACTAATTTTCAATAATTCCTTAGGAGCTTTCTATCATTAAATATTATTTTGATTGAGATTATGAACCGATTGATGTTGGACCACGATTTAATACCTGAGTGCACTTGACAGCCGTTTCGTCCTGTTTTGGTACTCCTGAGAAGTGCACATCCACGACCCAGCCTTGCAAGATTCGAACCCAGAAGCTATTAGTCGAGCGCGAACGCTTAAGATTAATTATTATTTTCAATTTTGATTAATTGACAAGTGAAGGAGGTGATTTCAGTCCTCTATCATACTTGATTAAGTCATCTTAAAAGGTATCATAGTCAAATAGATTTACTGGAAACAATACAAATCAAACTTCACCCCATCGCACAAGCAAGTGGCTATCAGGACTCAGTGGCCGAGTGGATATCGCGATGGCGTTTGAAGCGAGGGTACTGGGTTCGAGTCCCAGAGTGAACATCAACTCTGAGATGCAGGTACATCCAGCTGACGAGTCCCAAATAGGACGAAACGCGCGTCCTGAATTCCACTGCTAGCCACTATCCATCTCTGCTTACAAATCAGTTAACCTTTAGTTTCAATGTAATTTTATTATCTATTATAATGTCGAAAAAGTATTCATCGTATGTTTTATTCACAGATCTAATTTTATGGTTTACAACTGACTGAATTTACCCAGTTTATATTGTTTCACAGTAAACAGTAATATTATTAATTTTCCTTAACTAGTAGAATATTTCAGAGAATCAAGTTACCATGATACCTAAGTAGATAAATTTTAAAATGTTTTACAATTTTTTTTCAATCAAGCTAAAATGATCCTCTTCAGAACTTATTGATAACTTATAAAAATGGGTTGTTTTTTTCATAAAAAAAAAACAAACAAACAACATGATGGCACTCAATGTTGTTCCCTCTTTCTTTTTATTCAATTATCAGTTTGCCCTAGTTAGTGTACAACTACATTATTCTTTACATATCCATCTACCCTAATTAAAGTCAAAAGTTTGATAAAATTCATTTGCAATTATTTCAAAGAAGCAACATACTATCACCATCATATATTTAAGTAGTATATATATTCACTATTAAATTTATAATATTTATTATGATGGTATTCTTTTTTTAAGTTTACTCTCTTTGTAAGTATTCCTAAGTATGTGTAGATGTGTGTGTATTGTGTATTTATTTGTTCCGCTGTTCTTTCCTTAGAGAAAAAAGGAATTCTTTTCGTCTTTTTTTCCCCGGTTTTCCATTGTTTTATTATCATTATTATTATTATTTTTATTACCTTAATCGAATCAATTGAATATGTTTCAGAAGTTAATAGTGAAAGATATTGTGTGAATAAATAACGGACTTTTAAACGTAGTTATATAACTCTACATATAGTTGAAATCGTGAGTCAATTGAAGCTGGATCACCATGGGAAACCTGGAAGCACTGGATGGCCGTTTCGTCTTACTATGGAACTCCTCGTTTATATAATTAGTGGTTTGTTGTATATTTTCTATAATAGAAGATTAGTAATAAATGAAAATAGTTTTCTCAAAAACATGAAAAAATAGTTTCCACGTTAATACAAGATAATAAACATTTCATTCAGTACGTCTTTTAACTATTGCGTAAGTAACCGTTTTCTTATTAAAATAATATTTACAAACTAAGTATTTCTCTAGAAAATCTTTAATGACATAACATCGGTTATTCCAAGGATAAAGATTTTAGTATCGGTTGATATGTTCTGCCCATATACTTCATTCTAACTTCTGTACAAGTCAATTCACCTATCCATCATAAGTCATGTTTTCACCTTGTTAATTCTTCACTTATTAACCCTGACCATTTTATTATGAGCGTAGGTGTGTCTACACTTCTTATCCTATTTATCACATGTCCGTAACGTATTCTAGTCTGACTATAAATATTGATTAAAGTTTGATTAAAGTGAGTTGGCTTACTCGTCATCTCCAATACGTATCATTTATGCTTCGCTCGCTGATATTTACTCATGTGCTTATAACTTTCTGACCTGCGTCATTTGTCAATAAAACTGTAGCTGCCGCTTCTCATTGCCTTCTAATATTATGCACCGTTAAGATTTGCATTATAACGGTTATCGAGGTGAGCGATTAGCGAAGCACGGCACTACAAGATGTCGAAACCATTTAATTGAGTTTCAATAGTCAGATTTCATTTTCGGATAAAATGAAATGTCAGATCAGTAATAGTTGAAGATTCATATTGGTAAGAATATCTTCATTACTTATCTTTCTTCGTAGTATAAATATAATTATTACTAGACACTCATTTGTTTACCATCTGTCTATTGCATTTCTACAGTTTATTTCGAAACTTTTCTCCATAACCTCTTTACTAATTCACAATATTTGAAAGCTTGATTATACAAAGGGAAATGTTTAGGTCTCTAATGATTTTCCTTACACATTTTAATTGTTAACAGGTATTAGTACTAGACAGTACCTGATCACTCATTTCGAAACTACATTATTTTTATTGCTTATTCGTTACGACAGTCTCATACTGCAGAGTTTTATAATAATTTAAGTAAATAACTCTGGTCAATAGAATAAGTTAGTATGAACAGCTTCATATGTGGCACCTTTTCCAAAAGAGAGCTTATGACTTCTTATCTATATATTTGATAAGGTAACATTAAAAGTTTGTTAGCAGATAAATCTTGACATTTAAATAATTCTTATTTTAGCGAATCAATTGACTTAATAGCTAATTCATTCGATTCTAAATAATTAGATTGTATGAACAAAAACTATCTAGCTGTTTTATTTCTAGTAACTATGTAATGACATTGGTTTCCATGTAATGTATAGCTGATAACTAGACTTGGGTCATCTTAAACCTCTTCAATGTTGACCAAATCTTGTGCATCCTACAGTTGCAGTGATTTTTCCGACTGCTTACTGAGTGAGTATTCTCTATTACGATGTAATTTTTACTAAAATAAGTAAAAACAACAGTCCCTTATTTGTTAGTATTATTTATCACCGACTTCAGTTTGAGTAACACTAAAAACTGGTGAGTATTGAGTAGATATTTTGTCTAACTATGAGACTCCTCAACAGTGTACAGATATAGCCTGTCTAGGGATCGAACCCGTGAAGTTAGGCAGCAAGAGTTTTTTTAATAATTAAATCACTGTGTTAACAACCTGTAAATCAACTCCAATCAATGAACAATATCCCGCGACATGCGTTGAATACCACTTTTGATAACATAATAACTGAACTTGACTGGGCGCAAATTCCTACCTGAACTTTTAGAACTCATTTCAAAGTCGATCAGAAAACAGAACACAACTAGAAATTAAATGAAGTGGTTTTGTGATGATCAGTTCAACGTAGTTCAAATTGTTACTGTTCACAGTGTCATTCAAATACCTTTTCAAAAAAGAAACATTGTTTAAATCAAGATGGAGAGCGTTTTTTAGCAACACATTTGCATTAGACTGGGCTGCTAATCGCATGCCAAACCTTCTTTGTTTATTTTGGGCTCGGGACCGGTAGTAACCATGCGATATCTCCAGGAGGTTTCGATTATATTAGTATAGTTACGCTAAAGGCTAAATGACCGTATATGCTAGCACTTGAGTTATAACAATTAAACTATTTTTCTCGTCTATCCAAAGATATTATCTAACTTCACTTAGTATTGTTTGTTTGAATATTCCCATCGATGTGTTAGGACTGCAACTGATCAGTCACTGATAGGCATTTGTGCATACTCTGCGTATTGCCTCAATATAGCCTTAATTCACAAGCATAGTAAGCAGAAATGGATAGTGGCTAGCAGTGGAATCCAGAATGCGCGTTTCGTCCTATTTGGGACTCGTCAGCTGGATGTACTTGCATCTCAGAGTTGATGTTCAATCCGGGACTCGAACCCAGTACCCTCGCTTCAAACTCCATCGCGTTATCTACTCAGCTACTGAGTCCTGATAGCCACTTGCTTGTGCCAACAAACAATACTAAGTGAATTTAATGAATAGTTATGTCACTGAAATTGCTTTATGTATACTGTAATTTAGTAAATGTTTCTACTATTATCATATTTATTTACATAGATAACACGAAAAATCCGAATTCATGGATAGACAGCAATACTACATGGCCATCATTTAATCCAGTAACCAGTAACGTAAGTTATGCTTACTCTTAATAACAGTTGAGTCTTTAATAATAATAATAATAATAATAATAATAATAATGTGAAATAGTAATTAAGATTATTATCGAAACAATATGAATAGAAGTAATGAGCATATTCTTGTTTTTTTATTCTATATGGTAGTGAGTGTGTGTGTGCATCTGTGTATCTGACGACAAAACAATAGTCCTAGATTCTTATTCTAGCCATCTATTGTATAAGAAAAGAGATTTTGTGGAGGTCGGTATTCAATATTATCCCTAAAATTCGTATATTGTTCGTCCTGATAACCGTTACTCAATAACATCCTAACGGTGTATAAATCGGAAGGCGAAGACGAATATTTGATTGCGTTGATTATGGAAAACACACAGATATCCAAAACTACAGGCACGTTAAGCACGCATGAAAGAGCAGTGCCGTAAAGCAGGCAAGTGAGCGTGAGAGTCGAATTAGCGAGTACAGTGCAGTGCAGAGCGGAGCAGCGAACAAGACTAAGATGCACATATATATACACGTGGAAAGGCATGAATCATCTGATCAATTAAACGATTAATAGTAAGGCTAGCAAAATGAATTCATGCGTAGGCAGTAAGCAATGCTCAAGCGTACATAATAATATACAATAGTATAGATATGTTGTTTGCGTTGTACGAATGACTGTCCGTTAAATAAGTTAACAAAAGGGCTTAGGCAAATTAGATGTAAACATGCTCGATTATATGTAAGCTGCTATAATTGGTCTTAGATTTTAGGTAAACGTTTTACAAATGGAACTTACGATGGTGAATTCATGTACTTAGTTGATTACTTAGGATATTGTCAAGACCCATGCAATTATAAGTAATAAGGTAATTTTTCATTGGTTTTAAGTATGACTAGACATTATCCTGGTTTTTACATTAACTGAATAGCACGGTTCAGTCTTGTGGTGCAGTCAAACAGATATCCAGAACTCTGTTAGATCAATTTATGATTGTAATTAAACAAGATTTTAGTAAACCATGGTTTCTAGTAATTTAGTCTTTTAATAAACATCGTAGTAACAACAGAGATATTGATGAAAAGTATTAATTAAGCCTAATTTAGAGCATTGGATAAAAAGACTTAAATAATAACAGGTGCCTCCGACAAAAGATTTATCAGTATTTGTGGACACCAAAAATAAAAGCATTAGTGAATGTGGTTTAGCATTGGAGTGAACATGCATGCAATAATACGAAGTTTTGATAAATACAATGATTAAGATTATTGACATCGTGATTATACATTTAAGGTTATGGTGCTTATGGAATTTAAGATTTTGATTTAATAAGCGACATTACATCTATCACTCTATACCATAGTGACCAATAGTCAATGGATTAACGGACTGGTTCTATATTTGTTATTGAGTTATTTCATTTCTTTTTCCAAATCGTTCTGTTTTCTGTCCTTCGATTACTTACTTACTTTCGTCTGTTACTTCCAATGGAGCATAGGCCGCCGACCATCATTCTCCAACCCACTCTGTCCTGGGCCTTCTTTTCTAGTTCTATCCAGTTCTTGTTCATTCTTCTCATGTCTGTCTCTTTCCCGTAGAAAATCAACTCGCTAAAAAAACGCTAACCAGTCCTTCGATTATGAATAACAAAAAAATTATTAACTTCTTCGATTTGTTTGATCTCAATCTTGTTATGATTGACTTGAGCATTATAACACATAAGGATTGTTTTGCAGAAAATATTTGTCGGACTTCCTTGTTTTTAGCTAAAAAAAAATAATATTTGACCAGTTTCTGTTTCATTTAATTGTTTTTGACTAAGGTATACAAGCAGCTTAAAATAACACCGAGTTATACGGAATATTCTTTAATCATTCTCAGGTATACTGAGTTGGTGACTGAACAGAACAAAGTCTACATGAGGATAAAAAAAATTCACTATTAGATGAATTTTTTACAGATTATATGTATGAAATGTCAAAACAAATAAGTTTAATATCTCTTTGTAGTATTCTAGATATAAGAAAATAATTGAGATATCTGGAGAGTGGACTATTAAACGATTCTGTTTTTCATCTATGAGATGTTTCTTAGATGAAGAAATATAAAGAAATTAGAAGTCCATAAATCTATTTAATTCAGTATAAAATTTCAAATGATCACTTTATATGAATGAATATGTTTTTCATAATTTACTTAATTACTTACTTACGCCTGTTACTTCCAATGGAGCATAGGCCGCCGACCAGCATTCTTCAACCCACTCTGTTCACGATCTTCTTTTCTAATTCTGCCCAACTTTTGTTCATTCTTCTCATATTAGTCTCCATTTCTCGACGTAATGTGTTCATTGGTCTTTCTCTTTTTCTTTGGCCTTCAGGACTTCATATGAGGGCTTGACTTTTGATGTAGATGGGTGATTTCCTCAAATTGTGTGTCCTATTCACTTCCAACACTTCTTCCTGATTTCTTTCTCAATTGGAATTTAAGTTGTTCTCTCAGACAGTAGAATGTTGCTGATAGTGTTGTCATAATTTACCATAAAGATATATCCGAATCTATGATAGGTTAAGTTTGATTGAATATGGTAGATTTAATATAGATATGAAAATTCAACACTACTGATGATAATTTAAATTAGTAATGAATGAAGAAATTTGATATATGAGATCATATAGACTTTTGAAAACTCAAGCATTTTCTTAATATTAACTATATATCTATATTTATTTTAAACTGAATAATTAGCAAAGTTATTATACTTAAAAGTTATGTTATGTTACATAATAAAGCAGTATAAAGGTCTATCTTATTTAAATTTGAACTATTTTGATAAGTCCTTTAGGCTATACAGATGAATTGTCATCTTTACATTAGACTAAATTATTTGCTTTTTTAAATATATACATTCGAATGTATATATATGGTTTTGAATGTTTAAGGTTGGAATCTGTTATAACGTGTGCCTTCGTGCCCTGTTTAATAATATGAACGTGATTACACCGTCAACTGGAGAGCAGTGATTTATTGATCGATTAAACCAGTGACACACAAAAACCGTACGAGCAGTCTAGAGCACTTGTTGGTCCTGCTATCTGCTTAGCCCAGACAGTTATATCCAGAACATCAATAACAGCCTCTGCAATATGAATCATTATTTTCAAACATACTGGATTTATATACCAAACAAAAAGACCACATCGTACCAATAAAATAGAAAATAACATTTGTACAAGATTTGGTCAAATGTGACTGTGAATGTTGGGAATAGTGATTAATAGACTAGGAATAACTCAATAATGTTAAATCGTACCATAATGGTCTACGGGTCAAAATAAAGCTCACAATAAGAGGAATATGAATAGTTTAGTTACTTAACATTTATTTAATAGGAAATATATACATCATATTGTTCTATAAATAATCCTCAAAGTTATCATTCATAATTCTCTTCTGGATATAACAGAATCATTTAAAAAGGGATTTGTAGAGAATTCAGTATTTTTCAAAGTTGAAATCATGAGTCAATTGAAGCTAGACCACCATCGAAAACCTGGAAACACTGGACGGCCGTTTCGGCCTATTATGTGACTCCTCAGCAGTGCGCATCCACGAACCTGCTCTCGCGAGATTCTAACCCAGAACCTACCAGTCTCGAGCCTAAACCCTTAACCGATAGACCACTGAGTTGGCTTAGTAAACCTGTTGTATAATGATTGTTTGCAAGATTCACTTAACAGATTCACACATATTATTTCGGATTTTATTGATAAGTTGATCAATATTAGTTTTGTTGTATAACTGAATGTTTACTCAATATTTGAAATACTTTGGAAACTTTACATTTTATTTTATTACAGAAACCTAGATCATTAATACAATCTACAAAATGTACATATGATTTTCCAACTAAACGACTTTTATTAATGCGTGAATCTAGGGATCGATATCAAAGAGGTTAGTGATACCATGATTGATTTATATTTTATTTTGAATATACATTGTCATTTATTATTATGAATGGATCGAGTAATTATCATTTAGTATTTTAAAAAGATATTTTAGTATATAAGAACACGAGCGAGGAAAATTGAATGTATTTAGGCACCTTAATTACAAACTATCTCATTAAAATCTCATAACCATACAGTAAACAGTTAATTTGCAAACTACTAATCGATTAGAGATGGATAGTGGCTAGCAGTGGAATTCAGGACGCGCGTCCCATCCCATTTGGGACTAGTCAGCTGGATGTACCTGCATCTCAGATTTGATGTACACTCTGGGATTCGAACCCAGTACCCTCGCTTAAACGCCATCGCGTTATCCACTCGGCCACTGAGTCCTGATAGCCACTTGCTTGTGCGATGGGGTGAAGTTTAAATGTAGGTACATCCAGCTGACGAGTCACAAATAGGACGAAACGCGCGTCCTGGATTCCACTGCTAGCCACTATCCATCTCTGCTTACCATGCTTGTGAATTAAGGCTATATTGAGGCAATACGCACAGTATGCACATATGCCAATTAGAGACTAACCAGTTGCAGTCCTAAACATCGATGAGAAGATTCAAACAAACAATACTGAATGAATATCAATCGATTGTCTCAAGCTTGACTATTCCTTCCGCAAATATCAGTCCATCTTCTCTGATTTCATTGTTCATACATTTTCATACCGATTACGTTTCGTTCCTACTCTTTCCTTATCGATCTTCTGCCAAAATACATTCAATACCTGACCATTATAATACACTACTTATGTGGAAATAAGTAACCCACACCACAATATTACTTAAAATTCATTTCACATTGTAATTCCATTTTAATAAGGGCTTTCATTTAGATCAATGATTTCATTTATTTTTCATGAATATGTATTATTTATTGTTTTACTAATATATTCGAAACATTATGATTTTATACAAATGTGGAAAAGTTTGTTACCTATTTGCAATATTATTAATGATATCAGTGATGAATATCATTGAAACCATACATTGATTTAAGCTGTATGTCATATGTGGAGAAATTCAAACACTTCACTTTGACCTGAAGTTTGTTCTGATGATGTCGTTCAAAGGAACGATGAAAGTTTCACAACCAAACCATTCAGCTCAGAGAACAAAACTCCACCTAAATGATGCCCTTGAGCTACAAATCTTCTCCATCATCTCAAAACTGTAATTCAATTTCTAAGAATATTCAGTTCACTAGTTTTTTAGTATTTTATTCATGTAGATTAGATCGTAGATTACTAGGTCAGTACACTATTGGTCATTTATCTTAATTCAACAGGAAATGGATATTAAACATGTATCAATTCTCATTCATTGCACAATTCAATGGTATAAAACGTCCATCTTTTCAGAAAGAGTTAATAATCAGAAAACCTAGAAACGACTATAGAACTTTTGATTATTAAATATCAACACTGATTGACATGCATCTACCAATTATGATCACTATGTTTACCTTAATTTACATTTCTGCATGAATGTTCTCACTCATAATTAGTATTCTCATGTTTGTTATATTAAACAGACGGTTGAACATAAATAAAATAATATATTTGTAATATCCCAAGAAGTAGAAAAATTAGAATAATAGCCAAAACGTGGCATCAGAGCTTGAAGTCACTAACTTCTAGTCTGAGCCTTGTGGGTAGATGCAGACTACTCGGTTGGGGTCCGCGTGACTATCATAAACAATGGTTGGAGACACTGGGTGACATGGCTCAGAATCGATCACAATGGCATAGGTGTATACACTCTTTATCTTCCTTTAAACATTGAGATTAAAATTCCATCAAATCTTTCTTTCTTCCTGTACTATATCGTGGATGCGCACTGCTGAGGAGTCCCACAATGGTACGAAACTGCCGTCCAGTGCTTCCGGGTTTTCCATGGTGTTCTATCTTCAATTGATTCATGATATCAACTATCAAAGTTACTATAATATCTCCAAAACCCATTCTGATAAAAATGTATTTGTCATTAACATATAAAATACAATCCTATGATAACGTGAACAGATAGCATAAATGTATTATTTTATGGTAAATAGAATATTTTACCGACACAAAGTATAAGAAGCATTCTAGGATCTAGAATGTCCTGTTTATTTATTCGTATCGTTTCACAGGGGGCATTGTGACTGTTTAAAACTATAGTAAGCCAGAAAAATAGTATAATGGGTTCAGTTTTTTAAAGGAAATTCAGTGTACAGATATTGTACTGACAGTGATGGGGCTCGATCACATTGGTGCTAAAATAAGAATACAAAGTTAATTGGAAAATGTCGAGTATATTTTTTTCTTACTTTGTATCATTTCACAGGGGGCGGAATTGGTATGCGCATAGTTGGTGGACATATTCGATCAGATGGAAATTTAGGAGCATTTGTTGAAGAGATTTATCCATCTGGTCCAGCTGATCAACTTCATGGAGAGATAAAAGAAGGTAATTTACATGAATCAATTTAGAATTGTTTATCTGTTTCGTTTATCTACTTCCGTTGCAAAATACGATGAACAAGTTAAAAGGGGAAGTGATGAGATTGAAATAAAAGTTTTTTATAGGGTATGCAAAAGTTATGTGTGATTCATCGCTTAACGATAGATACTCCTCAGTTCTTGATTCAGATACATTATGTTGGAATCCTTTGATGTCTGGATTTATAATCATTTCAGCAAATGAATTTTTTCTCAGTTAGAAGCAAGATTCTTGGAACTGAACGGCCATCTCATCTTAGTATGCGACTTTTCAACAGTACAAACACACGACCCAACATCTGGGAGTCGACTAAAGGAATTTCAGTCTCAAAAAGTAGCCAAAACATGACAGATACATCTATTGTACTTTACCGTCTAGATCCCATAAGTTTGATTATGTTTTAGCCCATTTTTTGTATCCTTCTTCGCTCATTTCTACAGTTGAATTTGGAATCCGACTTACATAACCTCATTTATCTAGTGAACATCAACTCTGAGATGCAGGTACATCCAGCTGAAGAGTGCCAAATAAGTTGGAACGCGCGTTCTCGATTCCACTGCTAGCCATTATCCATCTTTGCTTACAATGCTTGGAATTAAAGTAATATCGAGGCAATACGCACAGTATGCACATATGCCAATTAGAGACTGACTAGTTGCAGTCCTAAACATCGATGAGAAGATTCAAACAAACAATACTAAATGAATATAAAAACATATAGTTCTGATAATCTTGATCTTATTGGTATATTATGCAAATTCAATGATAATTTTAAAGAAGTTTGACGTAAAGAAAACTGAAATAAATTGTTCTGTGAAATTGTACTTCAGCACCAAAACTTACATTCATATTGTACTGGAACATTCCACACCAAATATGCCGTCTATTGATTGAACTATGTCATAGGGACAAAAATTTTTGATTTGATTAAATATTAACTCAGTGATTTCAAGTAAATTCTTTGAAAATGTTTTTTTTACTATAGTGTTCGTAAACCTTACCGGTGTTCTTACGGGAAGCATATATTGACTGAAATAGATCTGTTACTTTATATTTTTAGTGGAGTAGGCTTGTGGATATTATTGAGTTTTGTTAGTTTATATCACGAACTGGCCATAGTTAGAAAGTCAATAAAAAGCAGAATCATTGGATAGTTGTTTTATCTAGTTATGAGACTCCTCAATATTTCTCACTCACAAACGGTTTTAGGAATGAACCCAGGACCTTCAAGTCTTTCATCATTCGAAGATGGTTACTTATTGTCAGGGTCGCAGGTTCGATTTTTTATCAAGTCATCGGTATACACTGCTGAATAGTCTCATACTAGGATAAAATAACTAATCAGTACTTCTTCTTTTTCAGTGATTACCTAAATAGGGTCAGTACGTGACGAAAACAGACTTAGTTGCTCTATGTTGAACCACAATATTTGTATGAGAGCCAAAGTTAATACTTGGCCAATTAAATTAAGTGGTGTCATTTTCAAGCTAGCAACCTGTTCTCTCCCACAGTAGGCCGGCCAACAACGGATATTGAGTATCGTGCGTAGTCAATTGTTTATAAATACTTGTACTGTTTTGTTGATGGTTGTGGTGGTGTAGTGAACAAGAACAGGAGTGAGAATAATGTAATGTATTTGAGCACAAAATTACAAACTATCTCACAAACATCTGATAATTATACAATAAACAGTTAATTTGCAAAATAACAATCAATTGTCTCTATCTTGACTGTTCCTTCTGCAAATATCAGTTCATCGTCTCTGATTTCATTTTTCATGCATTTCATTATTATTTGCGCTCCACTCCTGTTCTTTCCTTATCGATCTTCTGCCGAAATACATTCTATGCCTGACCATCATCATATACTACTTATGTGGATATAATTAACCCACACCACAGTAGTTTTGAAAGTCTCAGCGCCGTACAGTAGAACCTTGTTGACGTTCATATTGAAGATTGTGCCCTTGATATTGATTGACAGTTATTTTGAGTTCTAGGCATTCTGAAAGTTTAAACTAGATAATAATGAAAATAATACTCTGAATGTATTTCATTCAAAATGTACAATATGATTAGTAAATGATGTTATTATTTGATTTCAGATTGTTGAAAGTTATTAGATGAAAATCAGGAAATCATGAGTCGATTGAATCTAGACCACCATGGAAAACCTGGAAGCACTGGACGGCCGTTTCGTCCTATTGTGGGACTCCTCAGTGGTGTGTAGCTCACAATAGGACGAAACGGTCGTCTAGTGCTTCCAGGCTTTCCATGGTTGTCTAGCTTCGATTGATTTATAATTTCAACTATACAAAATTACTAAAAATCTCTATAAGACCCCTTTCTCATAATTATCAATAATAGTTATGAATCCAAAAGTATATTTGATCTTAGAATGATTGTAAATAAATTTTGAAATAATATCTGTTAAATGAATAAGAACCATGAACATACTACTACTACTACTATATTACTACTACGTCCTTATTATTATACTTCTTATTATACTGGTAATCCATTTAATATCAAGTAATAATATGCTTTTCTTTTAACATAACGAATAATCTATAAAGTTGCTTATCAGCCTTTTGTTTTAAATGTATTAATTTACATGATAGAAGAGATGATTCAATGCATATTGAATTTTGTTTCATTTTCAAATCTATTCATATAGGTGATGAAATACTTGAATGGAATTCAATTCCTTTAGTTGGTAAAACATTTGAAGAAGTACAAGCTATCATTAGTCAAGTTTCTGAAGAAACAGAATTACTTGTCAGAGCGTAAGTCTATGTATGTGACAATTTATATTTTAATTACTTATTTAGTTAATTGTCAATTTTTTGATTGTTCATTTCAATGTAACGCTGCTTTAAGATTAGAGCATAAACCGCTGACTATGATTCTCCGCCTAACTATGTCCTGGTCTCTTTTCCAATTACTCCTAAGAACGGTTCATTATTTTAAATTCACTTGGTATTGTTTGTTTGAATCTTCCTATTGTTGCTTAGGACTGCAATCCATCAGTGTCTTATTGGCATGTGTGCATCCTGTGCGGACTGCCTCAGTATTGACTTAAGTTACAAGCTTTATAAGGAATAATGGATAGTGGATGGTAGTGATATCCAGGTTCTGCGTTTCGTCCTATTTGAGACTCGTAAACTGGATGTACACATGCCAATAAGAGAATGATCAATAGGAAGATTCAAGTAAACAATATCAAGTGAATTAAACTTCACCCCATTGCACAAGCAAGTGGCTATCAGGATTCAGCAGTTAAGTGAACAATCCAATGGCGTTTGGAGTGAACGGTACTGGTTTTGAGTCCTGGAGTGAATATCAACTCTGAAATAGAGGTACATCTAGTTGACGAGTCTAAATAGATCGAAACGTGTGTCCTGGATTCCACAGCTACCCACTATCCATCTTTGCTTATAATGTTCATTCTTTTGTATGTATGCCTCCAATTACCGGTGCAATGTGTTGTTTTGCCCTGCTCTTATCATTTACCTTCAGGATTCCAAGTTAGGTGTTACCTAGAAAAACAGATTAGACCTTACTAAATTCATATCCAGTGGATTAGATTTCAATATTTCCTAAACCACTGAGTGATATAATTAAGTAGGTTGTTAAGATTTGTTTTTGCTGAAGATGGTTTTTGTTATTTATTGATGCTAGACACGTTAGTTTATCCAGACCACCCGGTTGAGGCATATACAATAAACTCGACTGATGGTTGGTAACGTTGTGTTGTATAGTTCAATATCAGTGACAGTAAAGTAGCTGAACTTACTGCTTATAGTATTGTGGATCTTGCATCAAAGCATCTTTTTCATCTATACCTTACCGCTTCGTATTTTCGAATTATATTCTCATTGTATAGATTTTCTCACTGTCATTAGTTCGATAATGACTTCTAGGCCTTTAATATTTTTCTCGTTGTGTTGATTCGGTATAGGAAATTCAGTTAACTCATATTTGTTTCAGAATGTGTATTGATAATAACTATCTCGCTAAGTGAAGATATATGAGAAACAAGAAGCACTAGAACTTTATTTCTTCCTAATATAAAACTTTTCATCACTATAAAACCACGACCCTCACAGGTAGATATGCGTTTGTTTTCCTACAATCTTTTCTCGATTTCAGGGAGATTAATGTAACTAATCTTCAAGATCGATCAAACTCAGTTTATTAATCACGACAAACTTAGTCAAGATGATTTCATTGGAACATAAATCTTCATAGAAATGAAAACATTATTGAATGAATAGTAGGATTCGTTGTTCTTTGTACTAGGACTAACACTTATATCTCATCTTTCACGAAATAGTCGTTCGTTTTTAACGAGAAATTTGATTACGTCAAGTATCAAACCAAAGGCCTTCGATCATATGTTCCAGATGTAGATTGAACTAACTTTAAATGCAAATCATAAATCATATCTAAATAATAAAGCTTACTCTCTGATATTATCTTGTGTAGCTAAACTGTCAATATCCTAATGTTTCTGTACTTATGGAAACTTTCATCTGATTTACAACAAAGCCTAACCGGCTTCGATACAGTTATAAAACTCATTAGATTTGTTGGGATAGTATCGTTTTTAATAGTTTAAATCCATTTATTTCCTTCTGCATTATAAGTAATCTATCCCAGTTACTTTTACTCCTCTTCTGAATAAAAACTTGTAAACATACTATCACAAAGTAGATTTCAAAATGAAAAAAATATCTATATGATGGTCATTAATCATTAACTAATAATCATTTCAATGATAAATGGTATGTCACTTCGTATTATCATGACGTTATTCAATATACTATTTACTCTTACTTAATATAATACATCAGTTATAGTTTAAAGATTGATTAATGTACGGCGGAACTAGATAAAACATTCAACCTATAAACGTGATTATGTTTATGTGAGGTTTGTTTCTAACATTGATAATAGGGATGTAATAAATTCAAAATTATAATCTCTCATAGACAATAAATACTTAATAATGTTGCATCATACTTCAGTGATTATAGGCGATATTTATGGTTAAATCTAAGGAATAAATTACATTTAATATAAAAGGGTCAAAAGAAAATTATTCGATTGAATATATCATTCAAAGGAGTTAAAAGAAAAAAAGTCTTGCTACTAATCTGTTAACTTACATTTCCCTAGTTATTATTAGTTATATTTTAATTTAACTAACAAGTGACAGTACAGTCTTATCATTAGTCAGTCTTCGGAAAAAAATTTGGTAATAATAATATAAATTTAAACTTACTTAGTATTGTTTGTTTGAATATTCCCATTAATGTTTTAAGGACTTCGACTGGTCAGTCGCTAATTGGCATATGTGCATACTGTGCGTATTGCCTCGATACAGCCTAAATTCACAAGCATTATAAGCAGAGATGGATAATGGCTAGCAGTGGAATCCAGGACACGCGTTTCGTCCTATTTGGGACTCGTCAGCTGGATGCATCTGCATCACAGAGTTGATGTTGTTATATCACTCTGGGACTCGAACCCTGACTGACCAGTTACAGTCATAAAACATCAATGGGGAGATTCAAACAAACAACTTCAAGTGAATTTAAGCTTCAACTCATTGCACAAGCAAGTGGCTATCAGGACTCAGTGGCCGAATGGATAACGCGATGGCATTTCGAACGAAAATTACTGGTTTCGAGTTCCAGAGTGAACATCAACTTTGAGATGCAGCTGCATCCAGATGACGAGTCCCAAATGGGATGGGACGCGCGTCCTGGATTCCACTGCTAGCCACTATCTATCTTTGCTTAATAATATAAATTGCTTACAAGGTACATGGAAGAGAGATTGAATAATCTGACAATTTATAGTTATCATTATTTCTAAGATGTTGCTTGTGAAATGTTTAACTGACTTGAGATTGGTACTGAAAAAATCTGAATCCAACAACGCCTAGTTTAAATATAAAGACCACTGATACGAAATTACTGACCTCGAAATAAGTTAAAATGACATATATGATTTGTTTACAATTAAATTAACAGTCAGATTTGTATAATTTTAACTGAAAAGTATTGTGGTGTTCTCTACACGCACATATAAGTAATATGTATCAGGAAGTGGAAGTAGAATTCTTACCGATAGAAGAGGAATATGAGGAAAAGAGAAAAAACGGAAGTAATTCAAGTAGCGATAGTGATCGAAGAACGATGGAGCCCGTAAGAGACAATCCATAGACACATATTTTTAACGTCATACTGATAAATTTTCATGATGCTTTCTCATCCTGTCATATCAGTCATAACTAATAAAGTTAATACTTTATGAAATGTAAGTTGATCATCCGAAGAATAAAGACAATCTGATCAATCATTTATCCTGGTAAACAAATGTAAAAGCGTATATTTCAATATATTTCTTATTATGTATTGGTATAAACTGTGAAACAATTAGAAAGAGAAGGATTACTAAAACTCTTCAATGATATTAAAAAACACAATCTAGTAAAATGTTTAACCTATAATTTTCATGCACATTTTATCAAAAAATGTACCAAAGTACAGAGATTAGAAGAACAAAGAGAATAGTCCATACTTAGCATTTCTAAGGATGTTCTAGAAAATTATAGGCCAAAAGTCTAACATCATGACATTAATTTATCACTGCCACAGTAAATTCATAAGTTCGATTCAAATTATCTTCAGTTAAATAGACATATAATTTATCCCTCTTTAATTATTATTGTTGTTTTGACAATATTCAGTATTTTCATAATTAAAATCATCAGTCAATTGAAGCCAGACCACTAAGAAAAACCTGGAAGAATGGGATGACCGCTTTGTTCTACTGTGGGACTCCTCAGCAGTGCGCATCCACGATCTCGATTACAACCCAGGACCTACCAGTCTCGCGTCAGAGCACTTAATCGATAGACCACTGAGCCGGCATCCAACGGTGTTATAGTCTAACTTCAACCAATCCAGGAAGTTTGAGTAACCGTTCACTAATTGTCTTCAGTGAGTTGATATCTCACAACAGACCTGATTGAACTCCACTGGTCACTGCTTCGCACCAGAAGTCCAGGAAACATCTCCTGAAGACTGATAGGTCCTGGGTTCGAATCTCACTTGGAAGGATCGTGAATGCGCACTGCTGAGGAGTCCCACAATATGACGAAACTGCCATCCAGTACTTCTAGGTTTTCCATAATGATCTAACTTCAATTCATTCATGATTTCAACTATGAAAATACTGAAATCTCCATAAAACCCCTTCTGAATAAAATTCAATATTTTTTTTTAATTTTCCAAACATTACACTACATTATAAGTTCAACATTCATTAAAATTCTCTTAACAATAAACTCTACTTTTAATCTTATCAGTTGTATTGGTTAAAGCTTCAAATTAAAAATTTAAAGAAGAGAATCCTTGAATAAATCACTAATATATATCATGAACTATCCACATGATTGTAGATGCATTCTATGAGTTTGAATTCAATCAGTTTTTTCATCTTATACTTATGATTATACATAAATAGATGCATAGAATTCAAAACTTTTAACTATAAGAAATTAATTAAAAGGAACAAAAAAAGACAATTCGAACCTACTTCCATTGTTTATCATTATATTTGTTTCCTTCTTGTTAAATAATTAAGATCTTTTGTTTTAAACCATGATTCAATTCAATTGGATATTCGTATCATATAGAAAAGAAAAAAAAAAGAATTAAAGTAAAGAAAAACAAATGAAAAAGATTATAACAAAGAAATATAACTAAAGTATATAACTGTCTATTCTTAACGACCTCAATACTTTTCTCTCTTTTTTTTTTCTTACATATAAGAGTGACCTTATTTTCAATGTAAATGAAAGCAATGAAAATGGGTTCTAAGTTAAATCATTAATAGGGGGAATTCATTCTTCTATTTTTTTTTGTTTTTGAATCATCTATGAAGCAATGAGGAGAGAACAAAATCTTGTTAGAAAAAAAAGAGAGAGATAAGGTGAAGTTCATAAAGTGTATTTTAAAGAAGAAAAAAAATATACTAACCTCAGAAATATAATTCACCTTCATTGTATTTTAAAAACTGAGTTGATGTTGTATTGAATAATGTGTATAAAGATTGAAACTAATGGAATATTGAATATGTATATAGAAATATGGGTGATTTATACCGCGATACATCATAAACTTTAGATAGATGAAAGTGATTAACAGGAAAATTTTGGGCTTAGGTTTTGCACTTTTTGGAACCTATCAGTAACATATACTCGTAATGTGATACTTCCTGAACTCAATTCTTGTTGTTGTTTCACATTCTAAGACGTATAGACGATGTTGAGTCATTTGGACCAGTAACTAAATTGAAACTTGGTCGATAGAATTCAGTCAGCATTATAAAAAACTAAACCAATATGATTTTAAATTCAATTTGAAATGGTATTGATTATGGCATTGTGGATATTTTTGACTGAAATTTGGTCAAACTTGGTTGGCCTATGGACATCTTGTACGGATTGCTTCGATACAATCATTGTTATGTAAATTGATATTAGAATAGATTGATCGGATGGACTGATAAGTCTCAGTCAAAAATATCAACAACGAGATCATTCAATTCATTTCGAATTACACTAAGTCTCATACCCGTTACACAGGTGAATGGCTATCTGGTTCAGCAGCTTAGTGAAAAACGCGATGATATTCTAAACAAACTGTCTTGGGTTTGAGCCCCAGAGTGAACACCAACTCTGGAATACAGGAACAGTCAACTGACGAATCACAAACAGTATAAAACAGGTGTCCTTAATTACACTGCTAGCCACATCCCATCTATTTAATCTAAACATGATGTTAATCAGTACTCATAGATCTACCAGTTGCATAGGCCGATAATAAGAAATGAATGATATGATATAAAGTTTTAAATAGGAATAATATTCATTTGTAAAATCTCAGCGAATGAATTTGTAGCAAATCCAACGTTTCGCCTGGCAATCTGGTCCATGCTTTTTCAAGGAATTAATTCCAAATTGCCAGGCGAAACTTTGGATTTACTATAAATTCATTCGCTGAGATTTTACAAAATATATTATTCCTATTTAATGTCTTACATCAACTCGGCGCTCAAATACTGTGAAACTATTCGCTCTAATTTAGACAAGAGTTCTTATATATGATATAAAGTTTGTTATATATTTTATTTGGTTATTGACAGAGATTATACTCAAGGTGATGATGAGGATGATGAAGGTGAAGATGATGGTGAAGAAATAGAAGAAGAAGAAGATGATGAAGATGAAGAGTATGATGAAGAATATCTTGATGATGACGATGATGATGAAGATGCAACATCTTTAATGAAGACTTGTGGTTCAGGATCAACTGGGAATAGTGGACAAACTAATAGAACACGTAAATGATATTTTTGTTTAAAAACTACGTTTTCTTTATAAAGAAATTTTTGGTATGAAATCAAAAGATTAATTTCATAAATGTGAAAAAATGTTTAGATTTTGTATAAGTTATACAAATGAAAAGAAATTAACGATTTATTCACTTGAAAATTCATTGAATGTTGATAAGAATGATAAAATTTAAAAGCAATCATAAATTCTATGGCTAGATCTTTTTATTATCAACATTATCAATTCCCGACCGTTGCTGCTACCTTTACGTGATGGTCGGGCTTGCCTATCGTGATGATTCAATCGAGCTATACTGGCTGGAACAATCGTTCCTCGAGGTCCTACCATGCCAGGCAGTTCGGTTGAAGAGCGGTAAGACTAAAAGCAACAAACCCAAGGTCAGAAGGCGAAGTCGTACCGCTGACTGTAAAGAGGTGTGACGGCAGTAAGGTGTTTCCTTCAGACAACCAGCATAACAGCCTTTCTACAAGGAGGGGTGGGGTTAGAAAAGGTCAACCCTAAAAATGCACACCTCGCCTTATCTCACGGATTTCCGTCTCCGGCGGTAAGGTCCTTTGAAAAACTGAGCTAACACAAAGACTACTCACAAAAAGGTCGTGTGTAACCGGCCTCAAGCAGTTGTCCCTTGGGCACTGCGGTCACGCTCTCAGGTCATTAAGACCCACTTCTAACCCTATATCCTTTTCAGGTACCTCTATAAGAACCCTTCCACCGTGTGGGCAACCGGGAAGTGATAACTGCCCTAATACCTCTAACAGCCCTTAAGACCGCTGTCATTATCAATTAATAAAAGAAAACAGAGAGACAAAATGCTTGGGCTTATTTGTTTTCATGAGATTACACTTCAAGTTAAACAGTTTCAATCATTCGAAAGCTTCAAGTATAAAAAGAAGCAATGATCTAAAATTTGCATATGAATGTTTGAGTTCCTAATTCTGAGTAAGAGTTGGATGACAGTTCTTACTATGTAAAGCTTTTTACTCTTGGGTGTTTCAAAGAAACATGTTTTGATAGAGTGAGATGATTTCCAAGTATACGTAGATTGTTTTCATATTTGTAGTGGTGGTTGATATGTTAAGCTCATATACCATATTATAGCTTCAGGACAAGTCAATTTACCTATCCATCATGAGTCCCGTTTTGACCTTGTTAATTATTCACTTATTAAGCCCGACTACTTTTTATATGAGCGTAGGTATGTGTACACTTTTTATCTTCTTCATCACATGTCTGTAACTTATTCTTGTCTGACTATAATTATTGCTTAACGCTTGATTAAAAAGAGTTGATTTACCCGCCATCTCCAATGCGTGTCATTTTTGTTTTGCTTGCTGAAATTTACTCATACTCATGCCAATTAGAGAATGACCGGTTGCAGTCCTAACGCATCGATGGGAAGATTCAAACAAACAATACTAAATGAATTTAAAATAATTACAGTTTAAATTACTCAGACCAGGTTGATATTTTTTTAGTTTATCTACCCTTGACTTATTTCGAAATTATACTAACTCAATTTGATTCGATATATTCCTTTTTTAAACTTCCTTTCATTAGTTCGACTTAACTCGCTAGTAAACCCACTCTCTAAGTTTTTTTTCCTACTCACTTTTCCTACAGTTTTATCTATTCTTATCTTATTGTTCTTACCAGTATTTCTATACAATTAATTTTCATTGTAGAATTCATGAGTCGACTTAGTTTGAACCACCACTGAAAACCTGGAAACACTGGACGACCGTTTTCATCTTAGTATAGGACTCCTCAGCAGTGCGCATTCATAGTCGCGCACTCGGGACTCGAACTCAGGGCCTTCAGTCCCACGCGAGAACGCTAAACCTCTAGACCACTTAGTCGGCTGGCATCCAACGGTGTTAATGTCTAACTTCAACCAATCTACGATATTTCACGACCGTACACCACTGACTTCAGTGAGTAACTACCCCACAACAGACACGGTTTAACTCCACTGGTAATGGCTTCCCAATATAACTCCAGGAAATACGTCTTAACAGCGTCCAGTGCTTCCAGGTTTTCGGTGGTGGTCTAACCTAATTCGACTCATGAATTCGACTATTAAATTGCTATAATCTCCACAAACCCCCATTGTGATAACGTTCATTGGGTTAAAAGAAACTCCCTTTTTTTCATTTTCAATCAATCAGATGCCTTATGTCATCATCATGCAGCACAACATGCATTGATGAGTCAATCAAAAGGTCCACCAATTTGTCCACATATACGTCAGCATTATTTATCTATGCCAACAAGTGATCATCGTTCAGTGAGTCAAGTTCCACATAGTTCACATAAACTACATTCAAAAAATGAACAACAAATACAAGAGGAAGATATTGAAGAAAGCGGATTAACAATGAATAACAACACTATGAACTGGATTGGATCAGATTCTCCCAAAAAATCTATTAATCAGTCATCATCATCAACTGTACAAGATTCAAAGTATACTAAACAGTCAAATATTTCTGATACTGATAAAATAAATAATAGTAGGAGATCGTCTAAAGGAGGCCGTCTAAATGGACCACGCGGAAGCCGCTCGGTGAGGAAAACAAAAATATCCACTTTTATTTTGAATATTTTTTCTGAGAAATTTTATGGCAGGTAGGATGTAGATATCTAACGTATAGTAGTATTGTCTCTTAATGTATAACTAAATAACTTAAGCATTGTAGGCAAAGATGGATAGTAGCTAGCAGTGGAATCCAGGACGCACGTTTTGTCCCATTCGAGACTCGTCGCCTGGGTGTAATTACATCTCAGAGTTGATGTTCACTCTGGGACTCTGTTATGACTTGACCTAGCCGTCGCCAATTTGTTATGTTTTTGACCTAGGCGGTAGCCAATTGTTATGACTTTATCAAGGTCGTCGCTGATTCGTTATGACATTTACGAATTTAACAAGTACGTAATTCGCGTAAATTATCCACCAATAAAATACGCCTTCTACGACCTTCACATTGTGACAATGACGTTCGATTAGTATGAGTAATCTAGCGTACTTATTGGTCCTTATCCGCCTAACCCGTCCACTTGAGTCCAAAACAACAATAGCAGCTGCTGTAATGCGAATCGTTTATTTCAAACATACTTTATCTATATACCAGACAGACAGGCCACATCATACCATATAATAGAAAATAATATTTGTACAAAACCAGGCCAAATGAGGCTGTAAGCGTGGGAGACAATAATCAATAAAACTGAGCATAACATAGGGACAGTAAATCATATAGTAATAATCAACAGGTCAAAATAAAGCTTAGATAATCTAGTTACCGAATAGTTATACAGTAAGAATGATAGTCCAATATTAGGTCCTGCAAGTTACCCGTACTTATGTCTTCGCTACTACATAACAGACTCGGACCCAGTACCTTTCGCTTCAAATGCAATCACGGTATCCACTCAGCTACTGAGTCCTGATAGCCACTTGCTTGTGCAATGGGTTTATGTTTAAATTCACTTAGTATTGTTTGTTTGAATCTTCCCATTGATGTGGATAACGCGATGGCGTTCGAGGCGAAAAGTACTGGGTTCGAGTCCCAGAGTAAACATCAACTCTGAGATGCAAGTACATCCAACTGACGAGTCACAAATAGGACGAAACGCACGTCCTGGATTCCACTGCCAACCACTATCCATCTTTGCTTACAGTGCTTGTGAATTAAGGCTATATCGAGGCAATACACACAGTATGCACATATGCCAATTAGATATTGACCAGTTGCAGTCTTAAACATCAATGGGAATATTCAAACAAACAATACTAAGTGAATTTAAATAACTTAAGTTTGAATATTCTAGAATAGCTTGCATTTTTCCAAGATGAAAAACATAATTAAGTAAATAGTTCTGAGATTCCTACAATACAATTGGATAAAGTACAAATATCAAGGTACTTTGAAACCTATATTCGTCTTACTTATCAAACTTAACAACCAATATACATGACATTTCAATCAAATACTATATGATACTGAATAATAGAGCTTTAAATTTCTTTATCCCAATATTGAATATAAAAAGTTTTTTAAACTCATGTAAACATTATGTTTTACTTAAAGAAGCAAAACTCATTTTCATTATTTTGTTTTGATATTCAATTAATGAACTAGTTATTCTATTAAAGGATTAAATTAAGTGACCTGAATTAATGTTACCTCAACCTCAACCATATCATTTTTCTTTAGTTTTTCGTTGTGATTGATCAACCTCAGACAAATTTCTAAATAATGTTTCTGGTAATTGATTTTTCAGGTTCACTGTCAGCAGTATGCTTGATATTCATAATTACTCTTTTTCAAAGTCTAAATATACTTATTCAAAGCCTGAAAAGTAAATAAGTTAAAGTAATATGACAAAAAACTATTTTATGAACTTAATTACATAACTAGTGAGGTTGATCTCAGGTATAATATTTCTCAAATAGTTTGTTGTCTACTCTCTCAATTTTAACTGCATAAAGATGGATAGTGGCTAGCAGTGGAATCTAGAACGCACTTTTCGTCTTATTTAAGACTCGTCAGATGGATGTACCTACATTTCAGAGTTGATTTTCACTCTGAGACTCAAATCCAGTACCTTTCACTACAAACGACATCGCATTATTCATATCGCGTTATCTATATTGAGGCAATACGCACAGTATGCACATATTACCAATAAAAGACTGACCAGTTACAGTCCTAAACATCAATGGGAAGATTCAAACAAACAATACTAAGTGAATTTAATGATCAGTAAATGTTTGGTAAAGTATTGTAAAGTGATCATTTACGCTGATGCTTAAGGAAACTCTACAAATATATTAGGCAAATTGAAACATTAAGAATTTGACATCTGTTGAGTCGGCTTCCGGAGAACTCTAACAGAGCCTCTGGAGGCTCATAAAGAGCCCCAGCCAATCACAATACGATGGAACATTCTAGAGTTCCAACGTGGCGTGATACTATTGGTCGGTATCATAATATGTCGTTAATGGATTGGCTAACATCTATAAATACTTATGATTTTCTGTAACAAGATTGAACCCTGTAGTAAAGTGCCTCCCATACACTTTGTGCCTTTTCTCTCTTCTAGCTCGAGGATACGGAACTAGCTTAGGGAAGCGAATATAGCATTCACAATCGGTCAGACGTAACAACATCATAATTCAATAGACAACCATAAGATTATAACTAGTTCGCAAACATATTTTTGGTTTGTCTATCACGCTGAATGAAGCAATCATATGAAATAAGCACTATATATCTAAAATACATTCATCTGTACACGATAACATCTAACTAGATAAACAATCCCCATATACTTTGCTCTGACATTTTCTCCTATTGGCGGCATGCTTAAATACCTGGGTTACCTGTTCCTGCTATCTAAATATAACAACAAGTTATCTAAAAAATTTTGTTTTAATATATCATTATGGCTATTTATCGCACAACCTATTCAGGTACGTTTCTGAAAAGTGTATAATATTTCTCTGCAAAAGTTACAAAAGGCCCAATCAGAGGTGTCGTGGTTGCTGAGAATATGCAGCGAAAAAATTGTACATTATTCAAATGTCGACTGACTGAACTGCTAACTTCTAACTGATGATCACTCAATATTTATCATATGGATCGACCAAGAAGTAAGAAACAGCAACTTGTTGAAATGCTTTGTGCCGAAAATTCTATATTGTACCAAAAATATAATACTGAATAAAGCTAATAATAACAATAACAACAACAATAATAATTCTATGTTGGTCTAGTAGTAGTTTCGAGGGACTTCTTTAATTCTGTATCAGATTTTCAAAGTAGGTCAGATTAGGTTGTTGTACTTCATCATTAGTTTTCTCGCCATGAAACATATTTTTCAATACTTCCTTCACATTATAACTACATAAGTGTTGATTACTTTGTTAAGCCTGTTCATCGTCGTGATTATTTCGAGTAATTTCTACTTATTTTATATTTCAATAGTCTAACAATGAGAAAAATGATGATACAATAGAATATGGTGAGATTGAAGTAAGTTTATGTTACTATTATTTATATTAGTATGAATTATCTTTTCATTCGACTATACTATCTATTCTATTTACTAACGGATAACATATAAACAAGTTATATTATTAGTGTGGTGTGTGCTACTGATGTCGACAGATATAAGTAATATGTATCACCAATCTAAAGTGGAATACCTAGTGACAGAATGTTAGGAAAGTCAAAGAAAACAGAACAAGAACAGAGAGTGATTGGTTCGGACATGAAGGAACAATCAAGTCTGAGACCATTGACTAGTATTTTGCAAATGAAGTATTTACTGTATAGTTCTAATATTTTATTAAGAATATCTGTAATTTTGTGTTCAAATGCATTTGGTTTTCCCCATTTGTTTTCGTGTTCACTACACTAGCTTATTCAGTAAATCTTATAAGATAAACTAGATCAAATAATCATAATGTCTACGAATGACATTTGGTAATCACTCGAATTGAACCATAGACTTCAACTATCATTCCCAATGAAGTTTCCCATTCTTACTTTTGATCATTAGTCATTGAGTTTTGATATCGTTTGAATTAAAGATTATTCACTATTTTTTTCACAAATCTCAATAGTTTATATTTCACCATGAAAGTTTGAGTAAACGAAATAATTGGTAATATGATTTAGTGTATTTAAGAACTTTCGTCTAAATTAGAGTGTATAGTTTTACAGTATTTGGGCATCGAGTTGATGTTAGACATTAAATAGGAAGAAGAATACATATGGTGAAATCTCAGTGAATGAATTTGAAGTAAATCCAACGTTTCGCCTGGCAACATATTATATATATGTTATATTACCACATATCATTTCACATCACAAATCTCTTACACACTGATACATATACCTAGTCTAAACATTTTTAATTCTGATTGGATGACCTATTCAGTGTACAATGAAACGAAGAACCATGTACCTATTTATATTCGATAATTTTGATGTTTGATTATAATTCCTTGAAAAAGCTTGGACCAGATTGCCAGATGAAATGTTGGATTTACTTCAAATACACTTCGCTGAGATTTTACAAATACATTCTTTTTATTTAATGATTTAGTGTGGTTTTTATTTCAAATAAAAAAGAATAGCTGAAAATTCTACATATGTTCACGAATTGATTAATTACTTACTTACTAACTTACGCCTGTTACTCCCAATGGAGAATAGGCCACCGACCAGCATTCTCCAACACACTCTGTCCTCACCCTTTTTTTCTAGCTCTATCCAGTTTTTGTTCATTCTTCTCATGTCTGTCTCTATTTCTCGGCGTAATGTGTTCTTTGGTCTTCCTCTTTTCCTTCGGCCTTCAGGATTCCATGTGAGGGCTTTTCTTGTAACGCAATTGGGTGATTTCCTCAATGTGTGCCCGATTCACTTACACTCCGCCTGTAGCCCCTCCTGGGGCTACTGCCGGTCTCAAACCCGAGTAAAGGAGGAGGGTTGGGCATGTGGATAGCGACCCCATCCCGTAGAAAACCAACTCGCTAAAAAAACGCCAACTAAAAAAACTATTCAAATTGATCAATATTATTCTATATTTAGGTGGATTTTCGATATACAACGGTTGTGAAATTAAACATCATGGTACGAATCGTATAAATTCTTATTCATTTTTGCATTGTTTGTTTGAACTTTCCCACTGATGTTTAGGACTTCAATACATCTCTTATTCTTATACGTGCATATTTTGCACATCCTGGATCCCACTGCTAGCCGCCATCCATGTTTGTTTATAATGCTTATAACTCAATACAATATCGAGGCAATCCGTACAGGATGCACATATGCCAACAAGAGACTGATCAATTGCAGTCCTAAACATCATTGAGAAGCTTCAAACAAACAACATCAAGTTAATTTAAACTACACCCCATTGCACAAACAAGTGGCTATCAGGACTCAGTAGCTGAGTGGATAACGTAGTTGCGTTTGAAGTGTAGGGTACTGAGTTTGAGTCCCGGAGAGAGCATCAACTCTGAGATGCAGGTACATCCAGCTGACGAGTCCTAAATGGGATGGGACGCGTGTCCTGGATTCCATTGCTGGCCACCATCTATCTTTGAGCATAAATTTTATCATTTTATTTCTAAAATGAGCTAATAGTATATAACTAATAATAAACACAACTTGCAGTTTGCCAGTAAACTGTTTATAATTCAGTTCTGCGAAATAATGAAATTTAATCTAAATGGAAAATTCATTATGAGTTTGTAAATTTCTGATTCATATCATTTACCGCCATCAGTTCAGCTCATCCGATTACCATATTTAACGTCATTTCATCGAAAAAAATGTTTTCGGATTTAAAGGTTTTTCGTTATCAGTGAACAGGTTGAGTTTTCTGCCTTTGAAGTGATTTTAACTAAAGAGTACCAAACAAGCACAATATAATGCGGATGTCAGTATTGACGCTGAGGAAATGTTGATAGGAAATAATTTAACCGGCAATCATGTCAACTTAAAATTATCCAGTGGGTGAATTTTTTTAAAACTGAAAGTTCGATTAATACAAATAATTTTTTGTTGTTGTAAATAAAGTCCAATATACTAGATGGATTTCTCTGAACATCTTATTTCGAAGTATCACTAAACATGAAAGAGTATTCATTGGTATACATGGTTTGTGGCTACTAGTGGAATCTAGAACGCGAGTTTTGTCTTAAATAGGACTTTTCATTTGGATGTACCTACATTCTAGAGTTTATGTTTACACTAGGACTTGAAGTGATCATATTTGACTTCAAACGCTATGGCATTATCCACTAAGCTATTTTAAATATCATTTGAATAAATCTTTATTGCTTACTAATCATGTTTAATTAAGATGAATATGATGAAAAAGATTCCTGTTGAGTCGAATCAAGTCTACTAGCATTGTAGTGAACGCAAACACAAACGGGGTAAACCAAATGCATTTGAACACAAAATTACAGAACACCTTAGTAAAATCTGAGGACTATACAGTAAATAATTCATTTATAGATATCTATCAATTTTCTCAGACTTCATTGCTCCTTCATTTCCATACCAATCACTTTTTGTTTTTGTTCTCTTCTCTTTGATTTTCTCAACCTTCTTCTACTAGGTATTCCACTTTAAATTGATGTTACATATTACTTATATCTATCGACATTAGTTACACACACCACAGCATTCATTTATATCTAGTTTTCTATGTTTGGTAATATGTTCAAACTACTGAAATTATTTTTAAGCAGTAGAGTGAAATTTACAAATTTATCTCAAGCTGCATAGTGCATCAAGGACATCAATGAGTTAAGAATCAATTTCTTTGCATATCTAATATCAAGACCACAAAGTTTTGGCATTATCATCAATGACACATTTATAGTTACCTTAATGTATGGGTAAATATGTTTTTTTTTAAGTTTAATTGATAACTGGAATTGAACAGATTGGCTACCGATTTACTTGAGTTTCAAGTTTCCCTTATTAGTTATGATAATCTAAACATCCGGCCATGACAGTTCGTTGTTTGATTACGTTTCTGATGTTAATTTCCTGTTATTAGAAATTCTTCTAATCAAATTATAAGTACTTTTCCCATCTAATGGTGACTAATCAAACTATGAAACTCCAGTAATAGAAAACCTCTGGAACATATCGATTTATTGCTGAAATAAAATTATTAATTCTCTTAATTAATCACTGAAATAATTTAGTGACAGTCTTGATTGTTTTTTTGGGGGGGGGAAGGGAGGAAAGGAAAGGAGTATGAGTAACTAAGCAATTTTTCATTTTTAATTTTTTTTAAATGTTTACTCAAGTGTTTAGAATGATTTTTTATTCCCATTTTTCTTCGTTGGCTACATTCAAAATGATATTCATTTTGACAATCAACTATTAATTTAATTAATATTTCCAGTTACTGTGATATGCATACATTTCACTTAGGTTTTCTTTTCACATGGTTAGATTCAGTAGACTAGTCAGCGAAAAGAACTGATAAATAAAATCATTCAGACGGAAGCATTTTCCTTTGTGTTTTTTTCATAAGTAATAGATTTGAATTGGATTGTTGAAACATTAAGAGAAGTAGCGAAAATGTTTTCAGACAAGAAACATATCAAGTAGTCGAACTATTTAGTTCAAGTAAAGTTTCCTCAATGATAGAAAAATTGATTATTGTAGAATTTATTTTCCCATGAATTCAATGTATTCATCGGATGTATGCCTAAATGTATTGAAAATCTTGTTAGTATGAATGGGTTGAACAATATTACGAAATGATTAAAGTAGGACTTCTACACTACTAATGTCCGTTGTGAGACTGAAGGTTCTTGTTTTAATTCCCGAAAGTAAAGTCATCGGTAGCACGTACTGCTAAAGAGTCTTATATGGGGATGAAACAACTGTTTAGTGTTCTCAGGAATCTAATGATTGCCTAACTTCGCTTGATTCATGATCTCAATAAAACCTAAATTTGTTTAGCCTAGTAGATCATTCAGAAATTATGATATCTTTAGGATTTGAGTGAATGTATTGGTACCGTAATAGAAGATAGAAGTAGAACTAGGTTAACTGAGCTCAGAGAATGCTACATCTAAAAATCCTCCTTATGTGCAACAACTCTTTCCCATCACCTAGGAATAGATTTGTTATGTCTCGTAGGTTGAATGCTTCATTCGGATCCTAGCTACTCGGATAACCCCAGGCTAGCACTACTCAGCAACTTGAAAGACCAGAGAGAAGACACGAGTATCAGAGAAGCACTTTACTACAAGGTTCATTTATGTACAGAAAAACAGGGTTTTTTATAGTAATTAAAAGACCTTTGGATTCTATAGTAGCAGTATGTTAAACAGTCAATCAGGACCTCATTATTTTAGTAGCATAGCTTCTAACTAATCGCTGATTGGTTGGGCTCTTTATGAGCCTCTCTGGAGGCTCTGATAGAGTTTATTGTAAGCCGACCTAACAAGATTACACTGAACAATGCAATTAAAACGTAGCGACAAAAATAGCCTGGTCTTTGAGTAAGAAGGATTATTAACAAACATAAAACATTTCGTATAAATTGTTGACTAACTGGAATTCATAATGTTAGTATCGATAAATGATTTATACTGACTGATCTAACAAGTGAATAAACTGTCAAATAGAAGTATTCAAATTATTTGGAGAAGGAATTGCAGTTTGAATTGAAGGAACTTGTATTCTATGAACCAACGATGTAAATTTTAATTCTTAATAAAGCTGCTTCTTATCACCTTGATAAGTTTATCTAGTAAAATATATCGAAAACTTATAGTATATTAACAAGACAAACCATTTACAAATGTTTATGATAATATCTGTCGTACATCAAATTGTGTACGCTCAGATACTGAGTGACTTTGAATAAAAGGTCGGTATGGAAATAGATCAATAGTGTTTAGTGTGTCTTGAGGAATAGACAGTACGGATTTCGATACTAACCAATGATATATTAAAGAAACAACATCTCATTTCAACAAACAATTTAATCTGATACCATAGACCTGTTTCATTTCAGTATCACGAGTGTGATAGTATTCTTTGACTATTTTTAAAAAAAAAAGATAAATACACATTTAATTTCTCTTGACTACTGAAAAAGTAGTGAACAACACCGGATCTGTGAAAAATGATCAACATCCTGACTTGATTCTTATTTTAAATCAAAACTGTTTTAATCAATGAATATGAGTATGTACTTTTCATAACTATAAAAAGATATAAGGGAAACCTGTACACTATAGATTACTAGATAAGTAATAGTAGTATTAAGCTTTCTAAACCGAGTAGTTTGACTAAAAATATCAGACTGTCCAGATATTCACACTCACAGAATGATCTTGACAAGTTTCTTTTTTGTTCTGAACTATGCATAGTAACAATAAAAAATCTACAATCAAAAACTATGTATCCATGTAAATGCGATATCACATAAAAAAGTTGTCATTAATAAATTTCTTTTATAGTTGAAAGCACGAGTCAATTGAAGTTAGACCACCAAGGAAAACCTGAAAGCACTGGACGGCTAACTCATCCTGTTGTGGGACTCCTCAGCAGTGCGCATCTATGATCCCGCACTCGCGAGATTCGAACCCAGGACCTACCAGTCTCGCGCCAGAGCACTTAACCTTCAATTGACTCATGCTTTCAACTGTGAAAATATTATATTATTATTATATATTACATTCCTACGAAACCCCTTCTAAATTTCTTATAATTATTTATCTGATTCTAGTTAATATTAACATTTGATGATTATGATCAAAGTTTAACTGTACATGTTGCACGTGCACGTAATCTTCCGGCGATGGATTTAAATGGTTTAGCTGATCCATTTGTCAAAGTAAGATTACATCCAGATCCAACAGAAGAGTAAGTATAATTAATTAATTATGTCTTAGTTTTGAATTTTTAGATTTCTTATGACTAATTCCTTCTTTACAGTTCATTTTACTAGGTATAATCATTTGAAATTATTTATAGTAATGTGAATAATAAATTCACATTAAGATCACAGTTTAGGTGGCTTATAATAATTTACAGGAAAACATAGATCTAGGCTTCGAGCTAGCTGATGCTCGTCAGCAAGACAATGGCTGAAATCTTGAGTCAAATAACGCTCCCTGAGGTATTCAAACCATATTTATGATCTAACATCAAATGATGTGAGTGGCGATATGAAGTTATCTGATCTAGTAGCCATATTGCAAGTTGATCGTTATCATTGGTTACCACTCAGGGACAGATTACTTTTAAGTCGAATGTTGTTTTAAAGTCACATGACTTGTTGATCACATTCGAAATCTACTTACTGAAATTTAATAAACACTAAATAAAACAAAACTTAGTGTTGTCATTATATGACTTATTGAAACACACTTTAATTTACTTCAAACAACATGACGGAAATGCAAACTGATCTTTTTATAAAGAAATATTAAATATCAACACTGAACCTTCTTTACAAGCATGATTATACTAAATTACTGAATGAATATTATTTTTGTTATATGCTTGAAGCACAATTTGTTAAATATTTACATCTATCTTAGTATTTAGGCTAAACTTTGCTTTCACCAACTTTCGACTAGACGCTTGTAAAATTGTCATGATACTAATCTAAGAAGTAAAGATGCTGTAAGGCAAAGAACATCTCTTGATTTGATCGACTTTCATAAACCAGATAAATTCGTCTGTAATCGACATTTTAATTATTATGATGTCCAAGGGAGTAGTATTCAGTAATTTTTGCAATAATTGTATTGTCATTGATTTATTAATTTACTTAACTACATAAACATTGGTGCAAGAAGGGACCAAATAGATATGCTCCACATAAATCATTCGACTTGTGTGTGGACTGGGATACTACCAGGGTGCTCAAACCGAAACAGGTGGTTTCCTTAGAGAGCCACACCCCGAGCTTTTGGCCTACAGGTCTATTTCACAAGGCAGTGATGCATCGTCAGGAGATACATTTCTATAGTAGCTAGTGACCAACAACGCCTTTTATTCCCTTGGGATCCTGGAGTCCATGTGCACCATTAGTTTGAAGCCAGGGTTTTCCAACACTCCTAGGTGGACAATACCACATCCATCAACCCGGTTGAAGCGCCGGATATTTGCTTTTCGTCCTCTCAATTTCGTAGTCAACATCCCTGACACGAGAAGGCAATTAGTAGTGTAGTGAATAGAACACTAGTTGGGGACAATCGAATGTATTTAAGCAAAGATTACAGACTATCTCAGTAAATTCTGAAAACCATACAATGTACAGTCAATTTGCAAATTAACAACCAATTGTTTCAATCTTCACTGTTTCTTCTCTTATTCCATTGCTCATGCATTTTCCAGACGATTGCGCTTCATTTCAGTTCTTTGCTCATCGGTCTTCTGCCAAAATACATCCTATGACTGACCCACACCATATACTACTTATATAGATATAAGTAGACCACATCACAGTAGGATTTCATTGGCAGTGGTTGTATGCACGTGGCCAATTGAGAGCATTTCGAGAGGGAGAGATGACTCTCTTCAATCTCGGCCGTACCATGGCATATGGTTCGAAATAGATTTCCTGAAGTTGTATAATCATTCGAAAGCAAGGCAGTTGTCAATGGATAACATTGAATGAGAGCTGTGCCTTATCTAAAATTACATAGAATCAGAAGTATAGGTTTTCGAGTTCTAACTTTACTACTTAGTAGTATTCTACACTCATTGAATGACCAAAAATTGCAACTAGAGATTATTGTGAAGTATGAAATTAGAAAGGAATGGATATTCAGATGATTTCCGGACTCAACTAATTCCATGGAAGACATAAATACTTCACAAGTTGAATAGACATTCATAAATCATGTAATTGTAAAGATGATTTGAAAATCTATGTCCCGATATCTTTTTCTTTCAAATAAAGCCAAAGTTATAACTTGTTAACATTCTTTTATTTTATACAATTATTGTTTTAATATAATAATCTTAGCCCTGATTTTAATCGTCAAACAAAATATATGCCTAATACATTAACACCTGAATGGCAACAGACTGTTGTATTTATGAATTGTATAAAACGTACATTAAAACGACGTGTACTTGAAGTAACTGTATGGGATTTTGATCGATTAAAAACAAATGATTTTATGGGACAAACAATTATTAATCTTGGAGGTAAGTAATCCAAATTTTGATTGAATCAAATTTTAATAATAATTAATTAAATATATAATATAGTTAAAATCATGAGTAAATTGAAGTTTAGAAGTCCTACTATAGGACGAAACGGCCGTCCAGTGCTTTCAGGTTTTCCATAGTGGTCTAACTTCAATTGACTAATGCTTTCAACTATAAAAGAAACAGTAAACATTCGTTCATTAATTTACGGATCTAACTGGTTGTTAAAATAACTAATGAAACAATAAATAACAGTAGTGAATAATTACTGGTTAAAAAATGAATTCAACCTAAATTTATTATTTTTTTGATTGAGATCATGAACCGATTGATGTTAGACCACTATTGAAAACCTAGAAGCACTGGAAGTTCGTTTCGTCTAAGAGCCAAATCGTGAATGCGCACCACTGAGGAGTCCCACACTAGAACGAAACTCCGTCCAGTGCTTCCAGGTTTTCATCATCAATCGATTCATGGTCATAATCAAAAACTTAATAATCTCCATAACCCCATACTGTTAAATTTAATTGTTGTGGTTAGACTTGATTAAGAAATTGTCCATATTTTATGCATACGAAAGTGAATATTATGAAAAAAAAATGCAAGTACAGTAATTACAAATTTGGAAGAATTAGTCGAAAAACTAATTTTAAATGTACACTACTCTGAAATAAATTATAAGCAGATAACATTCGCTATTTATTTTTGGTTCCATAGAATACAAATTTCTGAATGGATTTCTCATCTGTAACTGGATTTTTCTTGCTTTTAAATAAAAAAACAAGTAGATCTATTCAATATATTTGGTAAAACAATTGATTGCAAAGTATTTACGACTGTCAAGTATAGTAATGAATTAGAGAGATGAGTTATGCTTAAGTTTAAAATTCTTAAGCGCATTAGACAGGAGTAAATCAATTATTCTTGACTCTTTCAGTCACTGACTTGAAACTCAGTGATTCTCACTCTACAACTTTAGTCACAAATAACATAGTATCAATGAAACGCCTTGTGTATGTGGAGCATTTTCTTCCTTATGGCAGGAGTATAACAGCAGCTCTCCTGTAGCTAGCCGCTGTTGGCCAACCTGCGTCCAATGTTTCACTGATTTCAAGCACTTCCAGGTTGTATCATTTCATTTCTGCAGCAACTTGGATGACTCCAGTCTCCCATATTGTACGAATATTCTACTTTTATTATGACAAAACTAGTTTATTCATTTACGTAAAAGTTAGCTTATTCTTTTGAAAGACTTTATTTTGTGTATTAACAATTTTCTTAAGTTTTTGTCATACTATTGATACACTTTTATTATTTCAAATAAACACATAACTCTTTCAGATAAAGAATACCTTGATGGTAAACCTCATTGGTTTAGTCTTCATGGGTTAATGCCAGTTGTTATACCAGTACCTAAAAAGTCAGTATCTTCATCGAAAACTTCATCTGATAGTTCAAGACAAGCCAAGGTAATTCTATCGCTTTATTATCACTGTTATTGAAGTAGTTCTACCTTTTAAACATTGTTTTCATACAATATTTCAGGTCCTCATTTACTCAGTTATAATCAGTGTAGAACCTAATATATAGATGCATCTGTTCAATTTATCACACCATAGCACAGTGAAATGATAACATTAAGATAAATCTATGAGTTGTAAAAGTAGTAAGGTTACCAACGGTAGCAGAAACAATTAAATCAAAAGATTATTTAAGAATAAAGAATGAATACGCGGAAATAGAGTTACAGACTAATTTTGAAACTCAGAATCATACGGAATGTAATAAGTAAATACACTACTTCCACTATTATTGATTCTGAACCATGTCACCTAATCCCTGTACCTGCTGACATGGCTGAGATCAACAGTCAATGTATTCATGGTCCGTTGTCATATTTCGTTTTTTCGACCCTAGCTTTCCAAAAAACCTACTAGAGATCTTTGGACATCAGGACAGGTAATAATTGGGAAAATATATTACACGTTCCAAACACCTCTATCGAAGAAGATTCACAGTATTCATAAATTATTTTTGATCTTGAACTGACACTTTAAGTCTAACTTCAGTGTTTCGAATACGGCAGTCCTAATATAGATGCGCAATTATTATTATTAATGGCTTTATTCAATGTTTCAAAGACACCTATGACGAAATACTAACAAACTACGAATGCCCTCTATCATTAAAGATCACATTCCACAGCCATAACGTAAAATATACTGATCTGTTGTTCAGTATACTTATCCGTTTCTTGACAGCCTCCAAATAATTCATTACAGTACCATAGTAAGGATCAACGTATTTGCTAAATCTGTTGAGATTAAGTAATGAGAAAAAAAGTGAGGAGTGCGAAGAAGGAAGTGTTTTCAGAAGGAACCACATATTTATTGTATATACGCTACTCAAGAACAGTGAACAAATGTTACCAAAGTTTGGCTTGATAATTTCGAATAAATTGTGTATTGGGTAGATTCTTATAAATAAATGAATATATCTGTAGTATCCCAATTAGTAGAAAATTTAGATTTTCTCACGTTTCGTGACTCAGTGTAAGCCACTTCTTCAGAGAACAACGGAACCGTTGTACTATTTGAGCTTGGATTAATTTTGATTTGGTTATTCATTCTTTGAAGAAAAAGGCTTACACCGAGTTACGAAACGTGAGAAAGCCTGATTTTTCCACTCATTGGGATATTACAAACATATTGATTTATTTTTAAATGTTAAATTATATCCGATACCTCATAGATATCAGTACCTGATAATTATATAAATGATATCATGAAAATTATAGTCGCGTTCATTATTTCACAGTGAACCACATATGTGAAATTCCGAAATCTGACGTAAAGTTCCTTATTCCCCTATAAATTAGTAAAAGGACTTAGACTGATAAACTTCTGGCTCAGCATACTTCAGATTTTCATAATAGATTCCCAAATCCCCTTATTGATCCCAACAACTACAACTCAGTTGTAACCTCAGATGTTGTTCCCAGGCATTAACAGTCATATTTCAGTTATTTTACTCATAGAAATATTCTACTTTCACTGACATTTTATGACATCGGGATTATTAGACGAATATTTAAATTACATTTACTTAATTTATTCTTTCAAAATATATTACTACATTATAAATCAATAATGAATTGAGTAATATATTCAATTTTTTTATTCAGAGCTCTAAGGACAGTAGTTCTAGAAGAAGTACAGTGAATAAATCACCAAAAGGTAAATTACATTTACATTTTGTTTACAAAGTAATTTTCTTATAATTTACATTTCTATTAAATGTTATGGGGTTAGTAGTTTACAAAAGATTTGGACGATGATATCATTTAAATTCAGAATTAAGGATTAATTTTTTTATGCGGAGAAATATGGTACTGAACAAGAACATGAATGAGGACAATTGAATGTACTTTAGTACAACATTACAGAATATCTCAGTAAGGAATGAGAACTATAAAGTGAACAAAGATGGATAGTGGTTGAAAGTGGAATCCACGACGCGCGTTTCGTTCTATTTGGGACTCATCAGCTGGATGTACCTGCATCTCAGAGTTGATGTTCACTCTTGGACTCGAAACCAATATCTTTCGCTTCAAGTGCCATCACGTTATTAACTCGGCCACTGAGTCCTGATAGCCACTTGCTTGTGCAATGGGGTGAAGTTTAAATTCACTTAGTATTGTTTGTTTGAATTATCTCATTGATGTTTAGGACTGCAACTGGTCAGTCTCATATAGTGAACAGTTAATTTGCAAAAATAACAATCAATTGTCCCAATTTAACTGATTCTTCTGCAAACATCCATCCATAGTCTCCGATTATAATTGTTCGAATCTCGTTAGCGGCGCCGTGTATGTGCACTGCCGAGGAGTTTCACACTACAACGAAGTGGCTGCCCAGTGCTTCCAGGTTTTCAATGGTGGTCTAACATCAATCGGTTCCTGATCCCAATCAAAAAAAGAATTGATTTCTTTGTTGTTTGATTTACACAAACAAATAAATACTTTAAATTCACTTAGTATTGTTGGTTTGAATCTTCCCATTGATGTTTAGAACTGCAACTGGTCAGTCTCTATTTGGCATATGTGCATACTATGCGTATTGCCTCAACATTGCCTTAATTCACAAGCATTATAAGCAAAGAAGGATATTGGCTAGAAGTGGAATCCAGGACACGCGTTTGAAGCGAAGGGTACTGGGTTCGAGTACCAGAGTGAACATCAACTGTGAGACGCAGTTACATCCAGCTGATGAGTCCCAAATAGGACGAAACGCGCGTTGTGGATTCCACTTCCAACAACTATCCATCTTTGTTTAAAATAAATACTTTGTTGATTGTTCTTTCGTAGCGAAAATTATTATTTTCATATTTAATCTTATTATATTTTGTTTAACGAGGAAACAAAAAAAATATAAGGTGATTGGTGATAATGGGAATACGGTAATAAAAACAAAAAAACTAATTCAAGTACATTTATGAATTAATTACCTTATTCTCAGTATGTGGTAATTCGATTACCAATGCTAATTAAAAATTGCTAACTTTCTTAATCAATTAGAAAGCATTCACTTGCATATGAACTAACTGTATTTCAGAATAATTTCTATTATGAACTAATTTTTGCATCATCTTGAAAACTACTGAGAATTATCAATCGTTGAACAGATATTTCAGACACAGTAACGAGAACTGGAAACATGATCTGGTTATATGGTAAACAGTATTATACGTTATAACAGTCTAATCTAAATATCATGACTTCTATTATCAACTTCATTCGATCCCCGAAATATCGCTGTTCTCATCATATTTCATGTCTACATTTAGATCTCATTGACCATAGACTCTGAAGTGCGGTTAGTGAAAGTAAATTTGATTGTTCACTGCATGTGGATGGAGAAATACTACTTTGGACTCGCCCAGTGTAGACTACTTGTAATTGTGCTCAATAAAATGTTGTTTAGCTCATATATTGACTCTTGCTTTGCCGATCCTCGCCCTCACATCTGCATCTGATCCACTGTGTTCATCAATTATGCTTCCCAGATATGTAAAGGTTTCCACATCCTCCAAAGCTTCTCCGTCAAGTGTAATTTGATTGGTGCATATTGTGTTGTATTGGAGAGTCTTGCTTTTTCCTTTGTTTATATTGAGACCTACTGCTGCTGAGGCTGCTGCTACACTGGTCGTTTTCTCCTGCATTTGTTGTTGCATTTGTGATAGAAGAGCCAGATCATCCGCGAAGTCTAGATCGTCCAGCTGCATCCTGCCTGTCCACTGTATCCAGTGATTTCTTCCAGTCGTTGACGTCTTCATGATCCAGTCGATTACCAGGAGAAAGAGAAAGGGTGAGAGCAAGCAACCTTGCCTAACACCGGTCTTTACTTCAAACGAGTCGGTGAGTTGTCCTCCGTGGACGATTTGGCAGTTTAGTCCATCATAGGAGTTCCGTATGATATTTACTATCTTCTCAGGCATGCCGTAGTGTCGAAGAAGCTTCCATAGTGTTGTTCTGTCCACGCTATCAAATGCCTTCTCGTAGTCGATGAAGTTGATGTAGAGTGATGAATTCCATTCGATTGATTGTTCTACAATGATACGTAGAGTTGCGATTTGATCTGTACACGATCTATCCTTACGAAATCCAGCTTGTTGATCTCGAAGTTGGGCGTCCACGGAATCCTTCATCCTGTTTAACAATACCCGGTAGAAGACTTTTCCTGGTATTGAGAGGAGAGTGATGCCCCTGTAGTTTGCGCACTTGCTAAGGTCGCCTTTCTTTGGTATCTTGATCAGAAGTCCTTTTTTCCAGTCTACTGGTACTTGTTCTTAGTCCCAAATCTTACTGAAGAGGATGTGGAGCATCTTGACAGTTGCTGTTACATTTGCTTTCAGTGCCTCTGCCGGGATGTTGTCTGGTCCCGCTGCTTTGCCGCTCTTGATTTGTCTAATGGCCATGCTGATCTCTTCAATTGTTGGTAAGCCAACATCGATTGGGAGGTCCGTGGGTGCTGTTTCAATGTTGGGTGGGTTCAGTGGAGCTGGTCGATTCAAGAGTTCTTTGAAGTGTTCTACCCACCTGTTTCGTTGTTCTTCAATGTCGGTGATTACTTTGCCTTCCTTGCTTTTCACTGGTCTTTCTGGCTTACGGTAATTTCCAGCAAGTTTCTTTGTTGTATCATACAGTTGTCTCATGTTTCCCTCTCTTGCAGCCTTTTCCGCTGTCATCGCTAAATCTTCAACATATTTACGTTTGTCGGTTCTGATGCTCCTCTTCACTTGCTTGTTTGCCTCTGTGTATTCGGCTTGTGCCTTGGCTTTTTCTGCTCTGGTTTGGCTGATATTGATTGCTGCCTTCTTGTTCCTCCTTTCTTCAATTTTATTCAGTATACCAACAGTGATCCATTCCTTGTGATGGTGCTTCTTTTGGCCCAGAACCTCTTGACACGTTGAAACGATTGCCTCCTTGATACCTTTCCAGTTGCTCTCCATGGTAGTCCCCTCTCCATTGAGTAGATCATGAAAGGCCTGGAGCCTGTTGCTGAGGGCTATGTTGAATTTGTTGAGTTTGTCAGCATCTCGAAGAAAGGCCGTATTAAACTTTTGTGATGTAGTCCGCACCGTTGTCCAGTGCTTCTTGAGTTTCAGTTTCATCTTGGCGACCAGCAAATGATGATCGGATGCTATATCAGCTCCTCTTCTGGTTCTCACATCCTCCATCGTCCTCCTGAACTTTTTGTTGATGCAGATATGGTTGATTTGATTCTGTGTAATGTGATCCGGTGAAATCCAAGTGGTTTTGTGTATATTTTTGTGTGGAAATATGGTGCCACCTATGACCAGTTTATTGAAGGCACATAGGTTTGCTAATCTCTCACCATTTTCGTTCCTTCCTCCCAGTCCATGTCGTCCCATGACGTCTTCGTATCCAGTGTTGTCCATTCCAACCTTAGCATTGAGATCACCCATCAGAATGGTCAGGTCCTTGGTTGGGCACTTCTGGAAGATCGACTGCAGCCTATCGTAGAATTGGTCTTTAGTGTCTTCATCGCAGTCGTTGGTCGGCGCATAGCATTGGATGACGTTCATTGTAATGCCCTCTCTTTTTGTTTTGAAGGAGGCTTTGATGATCCTTGGTCCATGAGATTCCCATCCAATAAGTGCATTTTGTGCTTTTCTGGACAGCATCAATGCAACTCCTTGTGTATGTGGGGCATTTTCTTCTTCATGACCGGAGTATAACAGAAGTTCTCCTGAAGACAGTCGTTGTTGTCCAACCTGCGTCCAATGCGTTTCACTGATTCCAAGAACCTCCAGGTTGTATTTTCCCATTTCTGCAGCAATTAGAAGACTCTTCCGGTCTCCTACATTGTTCGGACATTCCATGTACTTATAAAAATTGTCGCTCTGGTTGTAAGAAGGTGCATCGGCCTCATGACTTCCGAATAGACTCGGCTTTCATCATGAGACGTCATAATTATTCCTTCAAGTGCCAGGGCAGAGTTTGAAAGGTTTGAATGAATTTTTTGTGGTTAGAGTTTTAAAAGCAAGTTGATTTTCTACGGGATGGGGTCGCTAACACCATGCCCAACCCTCCTCCTTTACCCGGGCTTGGGACCGGCAGTAACCCCCAGAGGAGCTACAGGCGGAGTTATATATATATATATATAAACACATGAATATTGGTACAAAGAGGCACCTGGTACACATGCGTAACACAAATCTCATTTGATTTGTGTGAGGGCTGTGATACTGCCCGGGTGCCCAAACCGAGGCAGGTGGTTTTCTTAGGGGGCCATACCCGGAGCTTTCGACCTAAAGATCTGGTCCATAAGGCAGTGGAGCATCCTAAGCAGTTGCAGTCTCATGGTAGCTGGTGACCAACGATTGATTCATAGGCTATTCGTTCCCTCAGGTTCCTGAAGCCCATATGCACCATTGGTTTGGAGTCAGGGTTTTCCAACTCCCCTAGGTGGACTTTTCATGTCCACCAACTCGGTTAAAGAGACGGATATTCGCTTTTCGTCCTCTCAATTTCGTAAACAACACCCTCACTACGAGAAGGCAGTGAGTATGACTTTCTTGTCAGTGGTTATATACGCGAGGCCATTTAAGAGCATTTGGTGAGGGAGAGCGGACTCTCCCCACTCTCGGTCGTACCAGGGCTTTTGGAGGCATATACATATTCAGTCTAATAAATATCCTGTTCATGTCTCACATATGTTAAACATTAATCACTTAGCAATTATCTATAAAAATCCTTAATCAACTAATTTTGTAAATTATTCACTTCTAAAAAAGTAACTAGACCAAAACTTGAAAATAAAACTGTGTTTATTTTTTTTCTCTTCTCAATCATTTTAAGGCATGCACAATAAAATTCTGTCTATATATCCTAGTTTATTTAAATATATATAGAACCTTTTAATCATTTTACACTTGAAAAATTCAATCAGTTCTGATGTATAACATTTAATGTTGTTAGTGTTTAATATTTCTGTCACTTACCCCCCCCTATCCACCTACCTACTATTATTATTATTATTATTATGGTCTCTATAACTACAAATATAAACAAAATCAAACTTGTTAGACAAATTATAAAATATAAATAAACATAATCAATAAATTTGTAATAATAATCATATTCTTTTTATATGCTTATTATTATTCTATAATAAATGAATAAGAAGATGAAGATTATCAGAACTATGTGATGATATATAAGAACTCTTGTCTAAATTAGAGCGAATAGTTTCACAATATTTGAGCGCCGAGTTGATGTAAGACATTAAATAGGAATAAAATATATTTGTAAAATCTCAGCGAATAAATTTATAGTAAATCCAACGTTTCGCCTGGCAATTTGGAATTAATTCCTTGAAAAAGCTTGGACTAGATTACCAGGTGAAACGTTGGATTTACTACAAATTCATTCGCTGAGATTTTACAAATGAATAATATTCCACTTAGTATTGTTTGTTTGAATCTTCCCATCGATTTGTTAGGACTGCAACTGGTCAGTCTCTAATTGGCATATGTGCATACTGTGCATATTGCCTCGATATACCTTAATTCACAAGCATGGTTAGCAGAGATGGATAGTGGCTAGCAGTGGAATCCAGGACACGAGTTTCGTCCTATTTGGGACTCGTCAGCTGGATGTACCTGCATCTCAGAGTTGATGTTCACTCTGGGACTCGAACCCAGTGCCCACGCTTCAAACGCCATCGCGTTATTATTCCTAATTATATGTGATGATATATTAGCGCAATACATTTCAAACAATCTGATCACACATATACTTATTAAGAAAATTTATGTATAAAAATAAAAGATCAACTAGACTGGAAATGGGGGTAAGAATAGACAAGGATAATAATAATAATAATAATAATAATAATAATAATGTGAAAACAATTTGACACCTTATCACTCTGGATAATAAACTAATATTACCAGGGTAGGTTTAAGGAGAGAACAAACTGTTTTTGAATTCACAAAATGGGTTTGAATTTTCGTATGGCTAAGGCTTCAATAAACCTTAGTATACGCCTTTTTACACTTTTATACAACACCACAAAAGCCGAGTTAAGATCAATCTTATGACCTGTTTCGATTATGTGTTTAGCAATAGAGGATGATAGATGTTTGTCCTCTACTTTTATCGGGTCGTTTGATTCTATTTGTTTTTGCAACCATTTTGGTGCATGTTCACACACTCTAATTTTTAGATCACGATTGCTCCTCCTTATGTATGTGTGACCACACACACATTTAAATCGGTAAACGCAGTGGGATGTGACACAATCATTTTCTTGTCTTTTAGGTTTCGAATGTAGCATGGACCTCGTTCTTTCTCGAAATTTATCAAAGGGACTAATTGCTTTAAATAAATAAATAGTAAAATACAATAACAAAACAAAACTGATTTGAATTATGTAATAAAAAGTTGATATAAAATACATTAACTTGCTAAAACATTTTTTTATATAAAAATTTAGTTAAACAATCAGGATATATGGATAATCATAGAAATCATGATGATTAATATAGACTTTGTTTTCTAATTGTTGAAGAGGTTATCAACAAATGTCTTTCCCATATTAGGACGAAACGACCATCCAGTGCTTCCAGGTTATCCATGATGATCAACCTTCAATTGACTTATGATTTCAACTATTCAAAATTATTATAATAATATCCACAAAAACCCCTTTCTGGTGTTAAATTTCTGTATGTTTGAAAGATTATTGATGTAAGTGAGCTAACTTAGTTAAAGAAAAAAAAAGAATCGAATTATAATGTTATCAGTTATGGTTAACTAAGATTGATGAAATATGTGATATACAAATTTTCATAGTTGAAGGTGTGAGTCAATCGAAGGTAGACCACCAGAAAAAACTCACTGAAGACAATTGGTGAACGGTTGCTCAACTACGTGGATTGGTTGGAGTCAGACATAAACACCATCGGATACCTGCTGAGTGGTCTATCGGTTAAGTGCTCTGGCGCGAGATTGTTAGGTCCTGGGTTCGAGTCTCGCGAGGCGAGGTCGTGGATGCGCACTGCTGAGGAGTCCCATAATAGGACGAGTTGGCCGTCCAGTGCTTCCAGGTTTTCCCTGGTGGTCTAGCTTCAATTGACTCACGCTTTCAACTATGAAAATATTAAATCTCCACAAAAACCCCTTTTGATAATAATATACAAATTTGTTGTATATTAGTGGACATAATTTTGTGGATGTTTAAAAAATGATAACTAAACTTCACTTAACTACTCTGAATATTCTCTGGAAATCGGTGAATTCCTTTTTGTTGGTTTTTTTGCAATTCACGGATTTATGTTAAATGAGGTATTCATCAAATTCATATAATTATTATTACTATTGAAAAAAGCATTGATGAGTACGTTGAGAACGACAACGTTAATTACTATTGCTTATTAAGATTCACTAACGAGAACTCTATAATTTTTCTTAATAGGCTAACTTCCTATATTTTGATCAATTATACGTTCTGACTAATAAAGTTAACCCCGAGGAAATTATTATTGGTCTCGAACGTAAGCCTTTGTCTTATCTTAGCTTCTTAATTGATAAGAGGAAACACAGAAGCCAAGCTTACACATACCCATGTTTTAGACACCTAGTCTGTATAGCTCAACACTCATTAGTTTATGTACAGTTAGCATCTGATTGCATCGCACCCTAAGTAAGAAATCTTACTTTACAGATAATAAAATCAAATACGACAGAGAACGAAGCAGTAGGTACATAATTAATTAACAGCAAAATGAATAATAAAAGGTATATCAGCAGTTGACAGATTCATCAAAAGCTCATAATACAGGGAATATAAAAGTACAATGATCCAATTATCTAATAACTATGAATGAAAAATACAAGTTATGATAGTATACAAGATAGTTCGAAAAACTACAACTTCAAAACTTGTTCCGTTACAACAGAGTAGATCATATAAAATACACCGTCTTTAACATCAAAGACGTTTCATTGAAGTTTGTCTTTTAAAAAAAATATATAAATACTTTTTCAATCGAATATAGTCGATTTTAAGTTGAATATATGTATCAATGAATTTGCTGCTGGTTCGCTATGCTTGGAAAAGAAATATAAACTGAATGGATGAAACTCTGTCACCACTAACTACTAGAATTCATTTTTACACTTTACTGTCTAGTGAATGAGTAGTGCAATATATATATATCCTTACATGTAATACTGTTTAGGTAGGTGAGTTATCACTGACATTTCTGAGTCCTTAGTGTTTAAGTCTGTCAGAAATTTATTAAGGTTAGAAACACTGATTACTAATGAGGCCTATGATGCATGCTGATCACCTTTATCTATTAAAAATTGTAGTCCTTTAAAACACATACTATAAATAATAAATATGTTTTTGTTATATCAAAATGAGTAGAAAAATTATATCTCTGACGTTTCGTCACCTAATATAAGCTACTTCTTCAGAGTAAATGACTAACTGAAACTTAATTATGACAAATTTAAATAGTACAAAAGAAATAATACCAAATATTTATAATACAATCAAAATCATAATAGATCTGAATATGTCAATGTCAAGTCATTCTTAGCCAAGTTCAATTTGTATGACCAACTTGATTAAGAATGACTTGACATTGACATATTCAGATCTATTATGATTTTGATTGTATTATAAATATTTGGTATTATTTCTTTTGTACTATTTAAATTTGTCATAATTGAGTTTCAGTTAGTCATTTACTCTGAGGAAGTAGCTTATATTAGGTGACGAAACGTCAGAAATATAATATTTTCTACACAATACGTAACAACGAAAAATATATTTATTATTACCATTTCAAATAATTCAGAATCAAATTTTCATTAAATATTTGATGTGTGAGCGAGAATGAGGATGATTGGTTGTTTTGTTGAGTCAGACATCTAGATATTGTGATAGGGGTCATATGTGTCATACATTCCCCTATCCTGATTATTATTGATTAACTGTTACTTGTTTTTAGATTATTTCGGATTTTAGAGTGGAAATATACTGATGTTCTAGTCAAGCTAATCTCGTCTTCTTGATCTGAGTTGTGTTGAAATCCTGTAGAATAGACACTGGGTGGGAATCTAGTGTAGATATTCGTCTAAAGTAAATTAACGTTCCACATATGTGTAAAAAGTGAAAGGACTGTTATAACAAGATTAAATCATGTTATCACTAAGAACATGTTTATTTTGATTCTCATTCTCATTGCATTCTTCTTGTGTATTCCTATAATGTGTATTTATTTTTCTTTATTCACAGATCAACTTCATTCTCAAAGAACAAGTACATGACATTGAAGTACATTCATGATATTATAATCCTTTCACATATATATATATATAAACATTTATAGACTAGAATATCAATAGGTTTATATCTGTTGAATCGAATCCGACTATTGTTTCGTTCCAATATAAGCATACAATATTGTATACATGCATAATATATATATATATCAGCTTCTTGAACAAAACAGTAATAACTATGATGTTGAATTTTAATGTGACTATAGGAAAACCTTCAATTTTGTCATCATCATCTTTGTCATCATCACCATCATCATCATCATTAATCTTAGTATATTCTGTCTTCTTTACATTCCATTATTTTGCCGTATGTATTTAATTTCAACTATTATTACTATTACTATTGTTATTATATATGATGATTTGTTCTTCTTCTTCTTCTTCTTCTTCTTCTGGTCTTTGAACTACCGGATCATAATTGTTACTAAGTCAAGAAACTGTTTTTTTAAACTTTATTGTTTATTACCTTCAATATTTTTCGGTGTTATCACTTTTTATGATCCCATTTTAAACTGACATTTATTTATGTTTATATATATGATTATTGTTAGATATATGAAATGAATATTTTTTTGTTGTTGTTGGGAGAAAAGAGATTTATAAAAACAAATATATCATTTTATATCAAGATGAAATATTTTTCGTTCTATCTAAATTCTTCTTGTCACTTTCACTTTACTTGTACCTATCTACCTGTGGACTTCTGTTTTATTCATTCAAACAAAAGTAAAGTTGTATATAATGTAGAAGGGTAGAATATATATATATATAACCAGATATATATATATATATACCCTGAACTGATCATGTATATTGAATATCCTCTATTTTCATGACCATTTCACTTTATTTCTTATTGTGTAATGAATAATCTCTAAAAGAAAAAACTTGGTAGATCAATTAAAAATGTGTGTTTTAACCATGAAACCACATTTTGTGTTTTTGCAACAATGAATAATTTTAATTGAATAGTATATGATAAATTTGTTAAGAATTATCTAGAACGAAGCAAATATTTAAACGAAATATAAACAATGTCAAAATTCTAATTTATGATACTTTTTATAGGCAAAGATAGTTAGTAGCTAGCAGTGGAATTCAGGACGCGCGTTTGGTCCTATTTGAGACTCGTTAGCTGGGTGTGAACATCAATTCTGAGATTCAGGTACGTACAACTGACTAGTCCTAGATAAGACAAAACGCACGTCCTGGATTCCACTACTAACCACTAACCATCTCTGCTTATAATGCTTGTGAATTAACGCAATATCGAGGCAATATGCATAGTATGCACATATGCCAATTAGAGACTGACCAGTTGCAGTCTTAAACATCAATGGAAAGATTCAAACCAACTATACTAAGTGAATTATGATACTCTTTGTTGGTACGTAGGGAAAATCAAACTGTATAAAGAAATGAATCATCTTTGTTAGCTTGAAGATGAATTCCTCAAGGGTTTATTTCATTTGAAGAATTATTGAATACTAGAGATCACTGGGTAGTACTTTCGTGTTACCCTGGAATTTTTCAGTAGTACAGACTATTAAATTCTGCCTGAATCAATCTTTCCTCTTTAAATCTATCAGCAATTACTAATTTTGAATTAAATTTAATTCTACTTAACTAATGATACAGAACAACAATTATCTAATGATATTGATAAATAACTTCTAAACTACAGACTTGGTCGAAATTCACCTCTTAGGTCTTTGAAAATGGTTTCTAAATGTGACGTTTCTTCATTATATTTCAAATGAGTATGTTTTCTAAGTTTGGATATCATAAATAAATTACACTATAGGTCATGTGCCTTTGTGCGATTACAATCATAAATTTCGTTATTATATTTGAAATAATCTCAGCGATTGGAATTCCAATAATTTCAGTGTTTCGTCCCGCGAACTTATCAAGACTTCTTCAGGGTAATAATCAGAACCATCAAAGAAATATATAGCGCTTAAAAATCATATTAAATCTTTACTCTGATTATTAAACATTACATATTTCTTCAATGCTTTTAATTTTGATAATATCCTGAAAGAATTCAGTCAAGTTTGCAGGACGAAACATTAGAATTATTATATACAGTTCAATCGCTGAAATTATTTCAAATAAAATTTTGACATATAATGACTTCTCTATACATTCAGTCCTCAATTTTTATCAAACTATTCGTTCTAATATTGACGAATATTAGTATAAAATATATAAATTTTGTTGGTTATATAAAAACTTTTGTCTAAATTAGATCGAATAGTTTCACAGTATTTGGGCGCCGAGTTCATGTAAGACATTAAATAGGAAGAAGAATATATTTGTAAAAACTCAGAGAATGAATTTGAAGTAAATCCAACGTTTTGCCTGGCAATCTGGTCCAAGCATCCGATGGATGTTAGCTTAGTGGTTTATCGGTTAAGTGCTCTGGTGCGATACTGGTAGGTCCTGGTTTCGAATCTCGTGAGGCGAGGTCGTGGATGCGCACTGATGAGGAGTCCCACAATAGGATGAAACAGTCGTCCAGTGCTTCCAGGTTTTTGCTTGGTGGTCTAACTTCAATTGAATCATGCTTTCAATTATTGCACTAATTTATTATCATTTATATCAAGTAAAAGGTAGTTCATTTATAAGAACACTAAATAGAGTAGTTTCAAATTCATTAGAACTTTTATTAGACTAATTATCTTTTTAGTTTAAAACAAATGTCAAAAGAAGATCATGTCCAGTAGGTTAAAATACAATGTCCTGTATTAATAAAGGAGGACAATTTCCTAACTAAATAAGCAAGTTTATTTTGCTCATCATGGCATGTGATAGGATAGCTGGTTTTAAATTACTTCATAATATGATAATTTATTGATTTCTTGCTTCATAGTTAGTAGTATATCAAACATGTACTACTATTATTTGACAGTTAAATAATTTAAACCTTTCTTGATTATTTTTAAAGTAACAGAAGTCACTAACGGGTGAAATTTACTCTTATACATAGGGTTCAAAAGATAGTAACCACCTTAAAAGTCAATTATCTTATAAAATTAATCCTTGAGTTTCATTTCATATTCATAATTCAGGGAGATTTTAAATAATCTGAAAAGTCTATAATTATATACACAATATAATAAGAAATATTAGTAGTTTCAATTCGATAGTCAACTGAAAATGGACCGATTTGCAGTTAGTATCGGCGTCTATTCTTAATTGGTGATTGAATTCTGCTTATGGTGTTTACAATATGATGGTGAGAATAAATGACTAAGTGTTTAGATGGACCCAAACTGAATTATTAAGTAGGTGACTTCCAGTCATATTTCCAATCGTGAAAGAAACACAGGTACTGTAGATCTTCCAACCCGTTTCAGCCAGTGATCACTACTGCGAAACCTAGGTCTAGGGCATCGAACTTAGTAATGTCAGCAGTCTAACAGTATATAAGATTCATCTTAAGTCCGAGTAACTCTGTTTATATACTACATTGCAAAGATTATGGGCTTAATTCGATTAGTGCCGATCAGTAGATATGACAGTGGTTACCATTGAGTAGTCGTTTGATACATATATTTTTGTCCTAAAAAATCAATTTTATTCACATAGCTGAGCAGTAATGTCTGTTCATGTAGTTTTAAATGACAACTGCTTAAAATTTGGAGACAGCATTGATCCCTCCTGTTTTTCAAGCATATCTTACTGATGGTTGAGAACCAGTTGGAAACCTTGATTTGTTGTCCCTTATTGATTGTCTTTACTACTGAGAGCAAAGACTTTTGTAATCAGTAGAGCTGATCGATTTCTATCGGTCTCATCACAACTGCATCATTAGTTTACTTGACTCTATATGATGTTCACTAAAGGTTCGGTGTTAGTTATAGAAGTAAGCAGTTAACTGAAAGCTGTAGGACTAAAATTCCCAGTAACTGGAATTCTTCTATAAATTTTGATCTACAGTTTTGCAGGTAAACTTATAATTCATACCCAATTTGAATTCAGGTTATCAATTGTCACAAGTAGTTTGTAATTCACCAAATGACTCTCATAAAACAGAACTTTGTACAATATTTCTATTGTGTTTATTTTTGTGACTTATAAAGATATAAAAGTCTGAAAAATCTTGTTTTCAATGCAACAATAAACATTTAAAACGGATTATTTAATGATGGTTGAACGATACTTTTCTTGCATCTACTGGTCAATATGATTTCACCAATTAACAGTTTAGTAATATTAACCTAAGGTTAAAAAAAAATGATAATGCGGGACCCTATTATGACAGAAAGAGACAGAGTACAATAAGAACTGTGAAGTAGACTTCTGATAGTTCCCTCTCTAACTAACTAAACTTTTTAAAAAGATATGCAAGTCAGTTTATCCAAAATCTGTATTATGAAATACTTATATTATTTATATACTATAAAAATATACAAAAGTCCTTGTACAAACAGTTTACAATTATACAAATAACATTCAAATTACATCAGTATTCCAAAATGATATAGTGAACTTCAAACAGTATAAAAGCAACACATAGTCCACCAATCTAATGTATATTGATTATAAAAAGGTCATGAATGTTATTGAATGGAATGAAAGGATACACCGACATAAGTTGTAAGATATCAATAGAACAAACCTTCTTAGAACAATTTATTTCTGTAATAAATCACGTGTAATTTCTAAATTCATACGATTACGTTCAACTAATATATCAGCTAATTCTTTATGATCCGATTGTCTTAATGCATATTCTAATTCAGCTATTTTGATATCATCTTTAACTGTTTCACGTAATTTCTTCCAATACATTAATGTTTTTTGACTAAATGCTGCTTCACGTTGATTAAATGTACGCATTTCTTCATAATTATTAATACATGTTGTCAGTGGTATGTTTAATAATAAAAATACTCTCATATCATTTTCAGTTAATGCTTTAGCTATATTTAATATACTTATATCTGAAAGTACAGAAGCTGATGATTGAATATTTCCTTCTTCTTTATCATCAATGTCATCTGTTAAATAGACACATGTATGTAAAGAAGAAGGGAGAGAAAGTAAAGAGTAAAAAGAAATAACAATGAGAATGATGAAATATCAAGTGATTACATAATCCAAGACATCCATATAGTCCTGTTTAGGACTTTTCAGGTGATTGAGCCTGGATTCCAGGTCTGATATTCACACTGTAACTGGAACCTAGCACTTTTCGCTTCAAAATTCCAAAGTATCTTTCACTGAACTACTGAGTCTAGGTATATACTAGTTTGTGCGAGGAGCATAATTTTTAATTATAGATAATTATAGGACGAAACGTGGGTCCTGGATTCCACTGCTAGCCACTATCCACCTCTGCTTACCATGCCTGTGAATTAAGGCTTTATCGAGGCAATACGCACAGTATGCACATATGCCAATTAGAGACTGACCAGTTGCAGTCCTAACATATCGATGGGAAGATTCAAACGAACAACACTAAATGAATTTAAACTTCACCCCATTGCACAAGCAAGTGGCTATCAGGACTCAGTGGCCAATCGCGTTTGAAGCGAGGGTACTGGTTTCGAGTCCCAGAGTGAACATCAACTCTGATATGCAGGTGCATCCAGCTGACGAGTACCAAATAGGACGAAACTCGCGTCCTGGATTCCACTGCTAGCCACTATCCATCTCTGCTTATAGATGTTTATACTGTTTTATTGTCGATGTTGGCCACTCTTGACTAAAAGTTTATCAAATCTTGTGACTAAATGGTAATATTGAAAAAACCTACTTATGTGCACAACAGCAAAATAAAACAAATCAATTCCAGTCCTTAACATCAACAAACGAACGCTATTAAGTAGTAACACTATTAATTGTTAACAGTAATCAATCTCATGTATTGTTGAAAACACTATACATGTACGGTTTCTTGTGTCAGCTGGTCACCACATTACTGCCTGGATATGCTAAGTTTAAAAAATTTGTTTGGCAAAATATGAAACAACAACACTCAAGGACTTCTTTGAATGTTTTGAGCGATTGAAACTGAGGCCTTGGAGGTCTATTGCCAAAAAAGGAGAAGTACCGAAATTAATTGTGCTGATGTAGCTTAATTTTTGTAAAATAAAGCTTTGTTACTACAGTTTATGTATTTATTGGAAAGACGTTTTATACTTAACAAACATACCTTGATTCCCTGACATTTTAATTGACCTGTTATCTCAACAAATATGAATATTGTTGATGAGTACGGGTTTTCTCTGGAAAAAGAAACAAATCAAGAAAATAAATGATTTTTGATTCGGTGAAGTATAGTTTGTTAATATTAGTAAAGTTTAAATTTTATTGGGTATGACAGTGAGGTGAAGCAACTGGCACTTTATTTCAGTTGATTGTTTACTGATTTAAAAAATAGGCATGACTATTTATCATTGACAAGCGAGTTCAGAAGAAATTAGATAATTTAGTCACTTATAAATGAAATAAGATATAGCATTTATGTTCATCGGTTCAATACTTTACATTTCACAACAACTCAAGCATCTGAATTTGGACATAATTAATTTCCTTGGTAAATTTTGCACAGTAGTAATAAGAAACACTAAGGGAGAATTTTGTTTTGTTTTGCTTGCTTTCAATCCTCCACATCACTGATTTTATTAGTAAGATGTCCTGCAAATGTGTTTTGCAGAACATTGATAAAGTAATTTAGTTTACTGATAAAAATATTTTGTACAATCACACAGTTCCACTTTATATGGTCCCAAACTACTGCAAAGATTAGTGCATAATCAATCGAAAAAAATTTGTGTAACCTGTTGATAATATTACTTACTTATGCTTGTAACCCTTCGTGGAAAAGCGTAGGCCACCCACCAGCATTCTCCATCCAACTCTGTCCTGGACAGTCCTTCCCAGACTATCCGTTTGATGTCTGCTTCCAATTCCTGACTCAGTGTGTTCTTCAGCCTTCCTCACTTCCGCTTCCCTTCAGGATTCGGAGTTAGGGGTCGCCTCATGATGCACATTGGTGATTTTCTCAGTATATGTTCTTTCCACCTCCAACGCGTTTTCCTAATTTCCTCTTCATTTAAAAGCTGGTTTGTTCTCTCTCAAAGTAGGCTGTTACTGATGATTTCCAGCCAATGGGCATTGAGTATCTTGTGTAGACGACCTTTCATAAATACTTGTACCTTCTTGATGATGGTTGTAGTAGTTCTCCACGTTTCAGCCTAATACAGTAGGACTATCTTGAAGTTCGTATTGAAGATTCTTACTTTGATGTTGGTTAACAGTTGTTTTGAGTCCCGAATGTTCTTCAATTGTAGGAATGTTGTCCTTGCTTTGCCAATCCTTGCCTTTACATCTGCATCAGTTCCTCCACGTTCATCGATGATGCTTCCCTGGTAAGTAAATGTTTCTACATCTTCCAGAGTTTCCCCATCAAGTGTGATTGGGTTGGTGATCCCTGTATTGTATTCAAGGATCTTGCTTTTCCTTTCGTGTATATTCAGGATTATTGATGCAGAGGCTTCCGCCACACCTGTTGTCTTGACCTATATTTGTTCTTGTGTTTGGTATAGAAGAGCCAGATTTTCTGAGAAGATGCATGCGAGCTGTTTATTGTACTCCGTGCTTCTCTTCAGATGTGGAGGTTCTCATAATCCAGTCAAAAACCAGGAGAAAAAAAGGGAATGGTATGCAGCATTGTCTGAAACTGGCCCTCACTTCGAATGCGTCAGTCAGCTGTCCTCCATGCACGACATCACACTGTAATCCATCGTATGAATTCCGGATAATGTAGACTATTTTCTCGGGTGCTCTATAGTGTTGGAGATGTTTCCATAATGTTCTCCTATCCACACTGTTAAATGCTTTCTCATAATCAAGGAAGTTGAAGTATAGTCACAAGTTCCACGCAACTGATTGTTCCACGGTGATCCAGTGTCACAATTCGGCCTGTGCACGACAGAACATTACGGGATCCAACCTGCTGATCTCGAAGTTTGGCGTCGACTTCATCTTTCATCCGGTTCAGCAACGCTCTTTTGAAAACCCTTCCTGGTACTAACAACAAACTGATGTCTCTGTAATTCTCACATTTACTCGGATCTCTTTTCTTTGGTATCTTGATGGGATATCCTTCTTTCCAGTCTGTCGGCACCTGTTTCCCCTCCAAAATCTTCTTCAAATAGAACGTGGGGCATGATTGTAGTTATTTCTATATTTGACTTTAGAGCTTAAACTGGTCCTCGTGCTTCCCCACTCTTGATTTTTCTGATGGCCATCCTGATTTCTTCGATCGTTGGTGGAGTGACGTCTATAGGGAGGTCTGTATGTGCCGCCTTGGTGTCTGGTGGGTTTAATGGAGGCTTCTTCGACACCACGGCGTGTCTGAGAAGATAGTCAATATCATACGGAACTCCTATGATGGACTAAACTGCCAAATTGTCCACGGAGAACAACTCACCGACTCGTTTGAAGTAAAGACTGGTGTAAGGCAAGGTTGCTTACTCTCACCCTTTCTCTTTCTCCTGGTAATCGACTGGATCATGAAGACGTCAACGACCGGAGGAAATCACGGAATACAGTGGACAGACAGGATGCAGCTTGACGATTTAGACTTCGCGGATGATCTGGCTCTTCTATCACAGACGCAACAACAAATGCAGGAGAAAACGACCAGTGTAGCAGCAGCCTCAGCAGCAGTAGGTCTCAATATAAACAAAGGAAAAAGCAAGACTCTCCGATACAACACAATATGCACCAATCAAATTACACTTGACGGAGAAGCTTTGGAGGATGTGGAAACCTTTACATATCTGGGCAGCATCATTGATGAACACGGTGGATCAGATGCAGATGTGAGGGCGAGGATCGGCAAAGCGAGAGCAGCATACTTACAACTGAAAAACATCTGGAGCTGAAAACAATTGTCAACCAACACCAAGGTTAGAATTTTCAATACAAATGTCAAGACAGTTCTACTGTATGGGGTGAAGACGTGGAGAACTACAAAAGCCATTATCCACATGATACAAGTGTTTATTAACAGTTGTCTACGCAAGATACTTCGGATCCCATGGCCAGACACTATCAGCAACAAGTTACTGTGGGAGACAACAAACCAGATTCCAGCAGAGGAAGAAATCAGGAGGAAGCGCTGGAAGTGGATTGGGCACACTTTGAGGAAATCATCCGATTGCGTCACAAGACAAGCCCTCACATGGAATCCTGAAGGTCAAAGGAGAAGAGGAAGACCAAAGAACACATTACGCCGAGAAATAGAGACAGACATGAGAAGAATAAACAAGAACTGGATAGAATTATAAAAGAAGGCCCAGGACAGAGTGGGTTGGAGAAAGCTGGTCGGTGGCCTATGCTCCATTGGGAGTAACAGGCGAAAGTAAGTAAGTAAGTAAGTCAATCCAATAATTCCTCTAAGTGTTCTTGAATCCCAGTGATTGGCTTTTCTTGTTTGTTCTTGACTGACCTCTCTGGTTCGCTATGTATTGTCGGTTTCTATGTTAAAACCATAAAGCTTATTCCGCCCTCCGGACAAGCCAACTTATTCTTTCTTCCTGATTCACACTTTTGACCTGGTCAGTTATTCGCTAATCAACCTTGACCGTTTTTATGTAAGCGTATGTGTGTGCATTTCTCATCTTACTGATCACATATCTGTATCTTATTTTTGTCTGACTATAAATATTGATTCACGCCTGGTTAAATTGAGTTGGTTCACATGCCATCACCACTCCGTGTCATTTTGCTTCGCTCTCTTCGCTTTGTCTTTCTAATTGTCCGTTCATAACAACGATTGTATGAAATATATGTATTCAAAATTCATTCTCGTATTTGATTTATTTAATTCCGTTACTCACCAACGCCATTTAAGTCGATGATTATATGCGATGATTGGCAACATCTATATTTCAATAACAATCATTTATACAATCCAGCTGGAGTCGGATACCAGGGGACTAAAACTAAATTTTCCTTTCAGCTTTTTCATTTTCACATATAGTTGTTTCATATTTCCTTTTCTTATAGTCTTATCCACCGCCCTTGCTAGCTCTTCTACGTGTTTCCGTTTGCCAGTCTTAATACTTTTCTTTACTTTCTTGTTTACTTTAGTGTATTCAGCTTATGCTTTGACTTTCTCTGTTCTTGCTCGAATGTTGGTGATTGCTGTCTTCTTTTTCTGCCTTTCTTGAATCTTGTCAAGGGTTTCCATAGCGATCCATTGCTTAGGATGATGCTTCCTACATCCAAGCACTTCGAGACACTTTGAAGTTAGTGCTTTTTTGATTCCTTTCTGGTCGTCCTCCATCGTATATTTTCTTCTTTGAGTAGATCTTGTAAGCGCAGTTACCGAAAGACAAACTTCTTTTACGGGAGCTTTTGTGCTTTTAATTAAATTGGCTATGAATATAAGTGAAAAGGGTTGTAAATTCACAATATTTTGTTCGAATATAACTTTTATCGATTGGAACCGACAATATGAGTACCAGCGAGTGTAAAGTTAAGATTGTCAGCATGCATTGAGTTAAGTGCTTCTCAGGCAATACACATTGTTCCAATACCGCTGATTCCTGTGTATTTTGTGGAATGAAGTCTTATGGTGTTTTGTTTTGAATAGACCATGTACGTTCTTAATAACTTATCACGACATTACACAATGACCTATGACAATTTGCTTTCTTAAATCTCCTTGTTTTCTCATGCTCTCACCTGAGGAACTAAACATCTCAATCATAAAAGCACCTAAAACTCTTGGAAAATGAAATGAACTCGTTATAGAATAATCTGCAAAACCTAAAGAAATTCACCCAAGGCTACAAGATGAGTCATCAACCTTCACACCAAACCATTTAAATAAATGTCAACTGGATGGCTACGTCCAAGTTCTCTAGCCGGAAAAATACTTAGTAGAGGGATAAAGGTCACAGTTTTGAGAGCAGTGATTTTCCTGATGAGTGTAACTCAACTTCCTAGTCTCGGTCTCGTTTAATTTTAGTGATACAAAAATACCTGGATCAATATGAATTAAAATAAAATTTTATGGCCTCACATGAATCTGGAAATGCTAGCGCTCAAAAACCTTCGATTTTCTCTTAAAAGTGTGTTGTGATGCAAACTGATCACTAAGGAACAAACAAATGAGCGATGAACTGTTTTAAGGTATCCGCTTTCTAAACATACAGTGACTGGGTAGCACTTATCAGTAAAGACATGAAAATTACTCTTCAACGCCTGTAAATAATCATAACTTTTTGATCAATACACGGACTCTTAATTTAAGCATGTGTTAAAACATGTCTAAGTCTTCATAAAGTGATTATTCAACCGAAACTCAAGTACTGAATGTGTGCTGCCGGCCTCTATGTGAAAAAAGACATTCATTTGTTGCAAAAGATCCACCGAATCTCAGTTAACCTAATTATTGGTGTCTCAGGACTATCGTGTGACGAGAGACCATTTAAAAAAGCTCCGTTTCTTTTGTCATATAAACGAATAACTGATCGCCAAACCACAATCCTAAAACTGCTTAGTAATAATTTGCATCTAAACTAACCTTTTTGGTCCCTAGAACAGAGAATATACGATGACACATTTTCTTAGTGAGTGATTAGAACTCTATACACCAACATACTCGACGGAAGGTTGGATCACATGAGAGGCTCTTACCATCAGGACAGTTAGCATAAAGTATACTGATGAACAAATTGAAATAGAGAAATTGAAATCAAGGCCGCTCGTCTGTAAACTTTGTACCCATGAAAAAGGTTAAAATCTCGTTATCATCCGAAGCTTTATGATCGAGCGAAATAAGATCAACGCTTTGAAAAAACTCTCGGAATTAGGATTTCGAGTTTTCGGAGAATGTTCATAACACAACGAACTTAAATGTCACCTACTAGTTGATTATTATTAGTAAGATAGTCAAGGGATAAAATTGGCACCTTTTGATTTCGTATAAAGATATTTTTCTTTAACATCACTATCGACAAATAATTCTGCGTATATTTGCATATCAAGTACATTTCTACCTGATTGGAACGACAACAACTGACAAATTTAAAATATCGGATCTGTAGAACAACCTTGAAAAAACGGATTTCATTTCAAGAGTGAAATAAATTAAATGATTGAGTGCAGGACAGTAAAAGTCTCCGTTTAACGAACTTTCTTGCCTGGTAACAATGGATCATCGATGCTTCCGAGGAGAGGGCTAATTGTGAAACAAACAGAACAAAATTGCAAAAAATCGCGCTCAATTCAAAAAGGATAGTGGTATTCAGTTGGCATGGTCGAAAAGTCATGTCATTGATTCTCGCTTATGTGTTACATGTTGTCGCGGATTTCTAACGTCGTTTTTTGTCGGCTAATCACAGTATTTTTCCGTCACATGTTAATTTTTGTAATATTTATGCTTGTTACATGGCGTTTATTGCAGTCTATTGGTTGCCTGACGTATTTGCAGCTGACAACCTGGATGAATGTTTAGTCAACCTAACTTGGTAATTTGTAACAATGCAAACTCAGGCAAGTGAAATTCATCATTTATCAAGTCAAAAATACACCAAAATTACAGTTTCAAGCAAAAACAAGCTGTAGAATAATTTACATATGACTTACCTCCCTCATTATGGTAGTGACCCAAACAACCAATAAAGTGGAAATAAAAGCGAAAAAAGGGGGAATAAAGCAGACAAAAGCGTAAATAAAGGGGAAATGTCGCTTTTTCGCCTGCACGTGAGGGACAGATTTGTAAGCACACAACATGATTTTTATCCTTCAGTCTTCAGTCTTCAGTCTTCAGTAATAAGGATAGTAGGTTGATGAACCTGTGTTAATCCTGACAGATTTCCTTCCAGTGAAGGTTCAGCTTCTTTTTGAAAATGTTCACTGATGGTGCTGATACCACTTGTTCTGGTAAAGCGTTCCAGTCATTGACCACTGGATGAGAAAAACGGGACCCCACCTTTAGTTTATTAGATCGCGGTTTCAGAACCTTCTTGCTATGACCCCGGAGATTATTAGTGCTGGAGGGAGCAAAACGATAAGACATATTAACACCCAGATCATAATTAAAGATACGAAATGCCAGTATAAGGTCACCTCGCGTCCTACGATAAGATAAGGGGAAAAGATTTAGACGTTTTAAACGCTCATCGTAAGGGAGTTTGGAAAACCCTTTACTAATTTTGTCCCTACACGATGGACACGCTCAAGCGATTTAGTATCCTTTATCAGACAAGGGCTAGCTGCTTGGATACAGTATTCTAAGTGTGGCCTTACATAGGTGGGATATAAAATTCGAAACATATCCTCGTCAAAGCATTTAAATGCTCTGCGAAGCGACCATAGAGCGCGATAGCCTTTGGAAGCAACCGCACTGCAGTGCGTTGTAGTTTTTAAGTCGTGACTTATAATTACTCCTAAGTCTTTATGCGCATGATCGCGTGGCAGAGATGTACCATTAATGGTATAGTGGTAACTAATATCGTGCCCGATGTGCATGAACACGCTCTTCCTAGAATTAACTTCCAGGCCCCAATCATGAGCCCACCTAACTAATTCGTCTAAATCTGCTTGTAGATAACAACGATCAGTCTCATTTCTTATTGTTCTCCAGATTTTAACATCATCCGCAAACAATAACGTCGACGACTTAAGTAATAAAGGTAGTTCATTAATATACAGAAGGAAAAGTAAAGGGCCCAAGATGGTGCCTTGGGGTACACCACTTTTGACCGGTTTCCATTCGGATAGAGTTCCATTGACTCTCACTCTCTGTCTGCGGTCACATAAGAAGCTTCCTATCCATTCCTGTATAGCACCTGTTATACCAAAGCTCGAGAGCTTTTGCATAAGACCTAAGTGTGAAACCTTACCAAACGCTTTGCTAAAATCTATAAATATCACGTCGACAGACTGGCCGTTGTCTAGTGCAGCTGTCCAATCCTCTCTCGCAATGAGTAAGTTAGTCAAGCATGAATGCTTGTTACGAAACCCATGTTGCTCGGGAGTTAACAGATTGTACGAATCAATGTGGCTCAGTAGCTTAGCCCGAATTAATTTTTCAAGTAACTTAACTACTATACTGGTCAGGCTAACAGGCCGGTAGTTAGATACTATCCGTCTCTGACCATCCTTAAATATAGGACTAATTTTGTCTAACTATGGCGTCTTTCCAGTCTCTAGGTAGTTGAGCCTGTGAAAGGGACATGTTGAAGAGCATCGTGAGCGGTCTTGAGATAATGTCCGCAAGCGACGACAGCAAACGTGGGTGTAACCCATCGGGGCCCGGTATCTTACAAGGTTTTAGGTTAGTTATCAAAGGAAGAACTATATCCTCTGTCACGTGTAAAGGTCCTATGGCTGGTATCTCATTGTCAACGGGACAAGTAGTTGTAACACTACACGTAGAGTAGACTTCACTGAAATAGTTAGCAAATAACTCCGCTTTCGCCAGATCAGATTCAGCCAATAAAGCTGAATTTTCGCTTAACAGTAATGAGGGGATACCATCACTACGTTTCGTCCGCCTTTTAACGTACGAAAACAGTCGCTTCGGACAGGTACGGCAATCGTATGCCAACTGTCGTTCGTAAGCCGTGCGGGATTTAGCTATGGTCTTTTTACATATATTCCGGATTTTTTTATATTCGCACTTAAATGATGCCTGACCTGTTGACAAGAATAAGTCCCAGAAGTGTTTCCTACGCTTCAACAGCTTCCGGGTTTCCTTATTAATCCATGGAGGGCAATATGATAACTTACGTGCTGACCATGGGATAAACGGTTGAGTTACGGATTCGAACGTAGACTTAAACCTATTCCATGCATCATCAATCGATCCATCAGCATCGACCGACCAGTCAATTGAGATAGCATAGTCCCTGATTGCCGGAATTTTAGCTCTCCAGATATTAGGACGGGGTGGAGCTGATGCAAATTCTATACCATGTATCCGGAACTTAAAGGAAAGTACGACATGGTCACTATTCACCAGTGGGGGAAGATGTTGAATGTCAACGATATCTTCACAGTGGTGTGTGAGGACAAGGTCTATCAAGGACGGATTATGTTCCAAGTCTATATGTGTTGGCTTAACGATACATTGTACAAGTGCACATTGAATAATTGATGACAGAAGGACGCTATCGAAACCCCCACCTGGAGCTGTGAGCTCTATGCAGTTTATATGGGGTGCATTGAAATCTCCAACGATGAGACAACATTCTGCTTTACTCCAAGAACAGACGTGTTTTAGGATAAAGTCGTCAGCGAGACAACACGGACTACGATAAATTCATTCCTATTACAGATGGCCATGTTGATGCGTTTAATGGATGATGATCCTAAAACCTCCATGCGATATCTTCTGTCCTACATCATGAAACCTGAAGTCGCCATTAATTTCACGCTACTTGGTACTTCATCAAAACGAGCGATTCAGAAGTGCCGGTTTTATGGATGCGTACGAAGTACGATAAATAAGGTTTTTAAACTTCAGGTGCATCTACTAATCGATCCCTGTCGTCATCTGTCACTGAGAAAGACCTTGCAAAACTATGTGACATGGCTACACAAAGTTATTTTCACGACATGAGAGACAAAGTACAGAAGCGTCATCAACGGAAGAAAGAACACGTACGTACGACTTTAAAGTGATTATTGTTTTCCCGTTATCTATAGGTAGAGTCTTCCGTGTTTAAGGATATAACCGTAAGTTCAGCTTCAAGTACCTTGTTGTGCAAAACAAGTTTCCTAGATGTAGTAACGTTCTTCTTCATTACATTTTAGAATTCACAAGAATTATTTGAGTCTCCATAGTCCAAAAGGCCTGATGGAAAGAAACAATACGTGAAATATCTGGTCCGTGACAATTGCAATAACATCAAGAACAATGATGCTCTACCATCTGCCAAGTGCTCATGACGTTGTACAATAATAAGCTTTTTGTTTTCAATAAAAATCTGGAACTTATACCATATTTTACGTACATTACATTATTCGTGTGCTGTGTTGTGGAAATGAAGGTGAACACAGGAGGCGGTTGGGGTAAATACAGCAGCGTTTTAAAAGTGGGCGCTTAATTACATCGGTGTGCATGTGGTAGAAAAATAGACAATTCGTCGGATATTTAGGGTGAAAATCGGAAATTCGTCGGATATTTAAGGTAAAAGTCGGCAATTTAGCGACATTTGAAAAACAGAGCGACAGAAAGGGAAAATTTCGCTTTATTTCCCCTTTATTGGTTGTATGGGGATGAACGTGGGTTTTAGTAGTTGTTTATAAATTGTAATTGAGAGTCAAACTATTCATGAATCTTGTAATGGTAAAATAATAATCATTCCATGCGATGTTCCTAATGGGAGTTTGTTTTTCTATTGCAGGGCAACAAAGAGTAAACGCACTGGAAATAGAGGAAGAAGCCCTACGCGATCTGAACGAGCAGAACAATGAATAAAACTATTCTGTAGAAAGTTTCCCCTTTTGCACTCAACCGTGTCTTTCAATTTTAAAAATATATCTGTTGTACCAGTACATTGTGTTCTTACTTCGACGGCACTTACCGGTCCTCACTGTAGTGTTGTTGTTTCAGATCTCTCCTGCTTCAAAGTGGACGTCAATATATGACGTGCTACATTACGATATGAACTATTAATATAATAATAATAATAATAATAATAATAATTTATTCTCAAATAACATTGTTACATGAGGCATGCCGGTTTACAGGCAAGATCAAATTGATAAAGAAGTTACAATTTTCACTGTTGAAAATTACTCTGCTGGGTTGATATTTTATAAGATATGAATGTAAATGGATTTCATAAGAAACATGTCAATATCAATATCACATTTGGCGCACTTTATGGAGGTAGCGTTGCAACATACAACTGATGTCCGAGAATGGATACATGCGAGGTTGGGGGCTTTTAGAAGTTTCGAACTTATGTCCCTCCAGAATATCGGAAGCATTAATAACGGTGTAGGACGAAGTCACCCGTGCCATATCTGTTTTCGATGGAGTATCTGCAGGAAGCTGAAAAAGGTGTA